AATAATTATACAACAAACATTTTAAAATCAATAAAAAGATACAACTCTTAAAAAGAGTCGCGCAATAAGACCTTTTGACAAGTTGATTTATGAAAAAAGAAAGAATACTCTAAAAGAGCTGCTGCCGGAAATTGTGTATAATGGTTTCAATTTGACTTTTCATTATGCCCGTTCTTTTTGTACATACCATATCTGCAACTGTGGTATAATTCAAGATGTTACAGCTGGAGGCTTCCATTTTCGGAGAGTTTCACAAACCATCATAAACCATTTATGTTTTAAATACGAAATTAATAATGTTAGACAATAATATTTAAAAAAAACTATTACAGACGGATATTGTTTGTCGATTGCAATTTATATTGCGATTATAACTTCCGAAATTTCAAGCCAATCCAAAAAACGAAATAACAATTCGTTTGACGCATTAAATTGCGTAGGAAAAATGCAAGAAGTCTAAACCGGAAACGCGTGGCGAAAAACGTGGCGAACCGTTGCGAAATGCCGCGTTTCATAAATGTATGACATTCTACGTCACAAAATAAGAATAATTAAAAAGCACGATGATATGATCGAAAAACATATGATGTAAGAGAAATACATTTTTTTTTCCTTTTATTGCGACAAAACAGGTTCCGTTCAAAGTATCAAAACAATCTAATTATTGATGTCACGAGATTTAATCCCAAGTAGCAAAGATGACGTCTAAAGACGTCTTATTGACGTCATAGACGTCATTAAGACGTTATTAAGACGTCATTTTACGTCACTTTGCTACCTGGGATATCTTGCTTAATTTGTATAAATAGCGCGCGAAATATATAAACCGCGGAAAAGTGCCAATGTTTTTCTCGGCATTTCAACAACGTTAAATTGAACGTACCAGAAACCTGAACAAGTTCTGCAATGCTATACAAGCTGTTCCATGTTACACAAGCGACTCAAAATAAGAGAGCTAGCGGGAGGCTCGTTCTTTAATTAGATTCTACAGTATTTAACTTCAACAGAGAATTCACGCGCTCGATTCTCATCGTAAACATTCTTATCTTACGTTGATTTTAATTTTAATGATAGCTTAAATAATTCTTCTTATTGTATTCTAAAATGTTGTAAAGACTTTTCTAAAATTTTACACTCTGTGTGTAAAGTTTTTTACACGTCCGTGGATTTTCTTTAACGAAAGAGAGAAGAGAGAGAAAGGAGAAAAGTGTGACAAAGTATAATACACTTAAAGTACTTATTTTTATCATGTTATTCACAGCTTTTGCTGTAGTAAGACGGTATGAGCATTTTGTGTCTTAATAACGTGAAACGTAGACAAACATGTGATTAACTCGACTTTTTTAAATTATGTCATTATGTGATTATCATTGGCAAGCAAGATATGTGCATGTTTAACGTGTCACGAAAACACGATTAAGCGTGTTTGTTCGTTGCATCGGGCGCCGCGCTCAAAGTTGCCGATGCCCGACGTGTTTGCGATGTATAACTCGTTAGTAGCATTTGCGAAAAATACGATCTCGCCATGTCGTGCCCACAATTAATCCGACACTTGACGTAAAGCCGATGCGCGTAACGGCATAACGGCAAATATTATTAGACGTCGGGATAATGCGCAAATGGTGATAAATTGTTTTTGAAAGCGGTCGTAAATGCGCTTGATCAATCACGATGACTAGGATATATCGCGACAGACTGAAAGAAAAAAAAACACGACTAAAATTTATAGACGTCATCGACGAATCACTGATGGTGATTCGAATAAAGTTGATACTAACGCGAAACTCATGAAGATCTCAAACGTTAATACTCAGTCGTGAAACCAGAACCTTTCAGACATTGATCTGATTAATATTTTTTTAATTTAGTGCTTTATGAATATTGAATTGAACAAAAAGTTGTTAATTCAATATTCATAAAGCACTAAATTAAAAACAAATCTAATGAATATTCCTTGAATATTAATTAAAAGGCATTTTGCAAGTATTTCTGCATTTCTAAACTTATCGTTCTTATGATATGATATTCGAAGAATTTATCACAAAAATAAAATCTGAATATCTCCAGGTATCATTATGTGAAAAAAAACTTTCTCTCTTTTGCTTTCTTTTATTGTGATCACCTGTTTCAATATTATTTCCGAGAAAAGCGTATCGAGATATTTGCGTCTCTGTGTGTGGAAATATATCTAAACTTTCTAAGTAATGTCAGCGTATATACATTATCGCGCGCGAAATTCCAGGAGGAGGAAAGGGAGGAGGAGAGACGTTCCCAGACTTCCTGTAGAATTTCCCGGAAACGTTTCGCTGAAATATGTCACGCCGACCTTAATGAGCCTTCCTCACTTTTGGCCCCCGCGTTCCTAATTCGATACGCCCTTATCACGCGGGCGCACACGCTGCACCATCTAGCTGCAGCTACATCTCGCTCCGATTTTATTGGCGGCATTTTCGGTACGCTTTCAATTTAAATCGAAATATCAAAGTCGCTCGCGTTACGCAAAACACGCTCGCAACCTCACGCGCGTGGATGTTACGTATGTATTACGCATCACGCATGAGGAATGAAGGCTTGGTTCAACGTTCATTGTGCTTCTGTTTTATTTACATCGCAAATACCGTTTGGGCGCAGAAGGGGCCCGCGATGATCGCGACTATTATTGCCAGTTGCCACCACACACCGATCGCGCACGTGCGATTTTTTTTTATTAAAGAAAAAAAGAGAGATGTACATATAACAAAACTTAAGCTTAAACTCTATTTACAGGCGTACTTATTCATTTATTCCACTGTCTTAAAAAATTGTAGATTAGACGGTGTCGTCACTTCGTCTCGGATTTCTTTGTCTTATGAAACTATAATAATATGTCTTTCATAAGTATATTTTTTATTTACGCATGTAATAATCTATGCAGCGGGGAGGCTTTTTATCTCTTAAAAAAATTGCATATAATAAAAATATGCGCATCGGACATTCGTGCTCTAATTGTAGAACGTAAATATATAGGTTGTAATATGAGATATACAGGTCGTAATTAGATATATGAGATGTTGACTAGAGAATCGATTTGTGTCAAATTTTCAATGTTGTGTCGCGTTTTCAATTTTTGATCATATATATGTCATCATATATTATAATATCAAATATCTATCGATATTATATATATTTACATGTATATATGATATAAAGTAAAGTAAATACTTTTGAGATTAAATAAAGATTAAGATAATTTTGTTATTAAATATGGTGTATTATTATATAATATCTGTATATATTAATATATTGTAATATTATCGTAAAGAAAAGAAATTACGTCTGCATCCAGTAAATTGATAAGCTCGATTAATTAATCATAAAGCAATTATCTAACATAAATCAATATTTTATTGTTCCTATACATTTTTAGGAACGTACTGCATGTATATTTTGAAAAACATTGTCTTGTTTAAATATCTTTGGAACGTGAGTGCAGTCGAAAAGCACGAAATAAGTTTGTATAATATTACACGTTTCATATTGTATATATCGCTGATCGTTGCATGCCGATCACGTTTTCCTGCTCGAATGCAGTTCCCCCTGCCACTTAATGCGAACGTTTTTGTAACAAATGCTTTCCTGTCGAATGTTAACATTAAAATTCCTATCAAATAGGATCGAATAACTTCGAGAAACTGTTCGTTTTTGCCGCAACGCAGGAATTCTAAAAGGTCGACGACAATTTAAGCGATTTAAGAGAGATTTGAATGGTTTGTTAAAATAATAGAGACATCCTAAAAAAGATAATATAATTTTTCGGACGTTCTTTTTTATTATTCGAAAAACAAACTCGCGCCGTTCATTAGAAATTACACCTAGAAAGAAATAATTTATAACTCACTATATATCTCTTTCTCTCTCTATAGCTGTTGCTTTTATCTTACATATTCATTTTACTTCTTATCTAAATTAATTTTCTTGTTGTATATTAAGTAAAAAATTAGTAATTCTTCTTCATTTTAATAAAATAATATAGTACTATTTCAATTGGCACATTTTGATCAAATTAATTTAGAATTTTGTCACTCTCAAGTTCATTTTAGACGATCTATATATTCGCTTGATACATAATTCGTGTTATATTTCAGGATAGAATTGCATTTATAATCGTATATATCGTGTATTTTGACACACACGGAGTCATTAGTATACCTGACACATGAATTTATGCATATCGAAGCACATGCATGCATGCATTTCTTATATACGTTCCGATAACGGCGATAACCACCTAACTTTACGTGGTAAAGCATTTAATCCTCTATGTATCGTGTTATATATTTAAGGCAAAATATATATATTTTCTATTTCAATTCCTCGATAAGCACATATGTAAATTCACGTGGTAAGACATTCATGACTCGAATATACATATAAATCTATGGTTTTAACATACATTTTATACATAAAAAAGTATTTTAATCCTTTAAATGTTCTTCACATTTTGCGACACGGTAAAATTACAAATGGAACTCCATTTAAAATATAAAAAGCAACGGAATTCTGTGTCGCGTATTTTCGTCTTATAATGTCCACTTTTACGAATGTAGATTAACTTTTAATCTTGATTTAACTTACTTTTTATCTTTTCTTAATTTTTAGTGCTAGAAAAAGATAAAAAGTAAGTTAACCGAGATTAAAGTTAATCTAAATTCGTGGAAGTAAATATATAAAGCGGGTTGAAAAAAAAAATTTTTAACAATCTACGTTTTCGAATGTTCGAAATGCGAATTTTGGCGCGGCGGCCTAATAGGGAATTCATACGGCGTCCGATTGCAGAATTCGCTAGTTCTAGGGACTTCGGAGGACAGTACATACGTTTTCTCTCCCTCTCGGAACGAATTTTTCTATTGGAGCTCGCGGACGCTCCTCCACCTCCTCTACAGTCGTAAGTCCACGGCGTCCACGGCTGTCCACGTCCGCGCTCCGGGCTCCGTCAAGCTTGTCCACTTACTCCACTATACCCTGCTATACCCACATCCACTACTCCACTTGTCTAGGAGCAGGAACATCGGAATTCGGTGGTATCGCGCTCTGTCGTCCGCCATCGCTGTGCATTTCCATGCCAGTGCGTCACGGTCGCGCGTGTGGTGCATTGCGTTTAGTGCGAGGCAAGGGCTACGGTCGCGTCACGATTATGTCGAGTATCGCGAAGCATCCGGAACGACTGCCGCAGGCGTTCGTCAAATAACGCGAGTCGACGAACGGCAAGCGGCGACGAGGTCGCGCGTCGCGCCGAGGACGGCCGAGAGAAAACGGAGCGACGGAGCTCCTGAAAACGGGATCGCCGACAGCTACCGAGACTCTTCCACGTCGTAAGTATAGTAACACCGTTCATTGTTGGAGCAACGTGTTTCCCCGGGCGACTTGTTTCACGATCCGACGGAGAGGAATCGTCGAAAAACTGCGCGTTTTGAGAAAAACCTATCCGGAAAAAATAAAAGATGAAAAAAATCCACAAAGGGAGAAAGTCGCTCCCGAAATGCGAAGCTCTCGCCCGTGTTTACGCGGCACGTCACTCGATAATCGCCGCTCCCGGAGAGCGGACGCTCTCTTCCACCTTCGACTTTGACGGGTTTCCGTTCCCATTACAGGTACAAAGTACGGTTTGTTATATATTTGGAGCTTGCTCATCCACGAAACTCTCCAAGTCCATGCCAGATTCTAGAAGGAATTCTTATCTTCAGCGCCTCGAGGCTCTGGATAACGATAAATAATACGAGTTGGTATTCTCGAACACGTGTCTAGGGCAGGAGAAAAAAGACCTGTTATTGCGTTCGCGTAAGGAAACAGACGCATACGTATACCTACGCATACAGCCAACGGGCAATGTTTCCCTCGATCGTTAAATCGCCGCGCTTCCGCGGAGAAAGTCGCTCGCGAATCCAATTATCGCTCTTTGTGTTTGTGTTGCATCGTGTCGGGCTGAGAATGTCAGGGGAGTGGGAGAAGAACGTCAGCCTTCGTCGATCATGGATCGCGCGGGGATAGGATGACTGTCATATCGCGCAAACGATCCCGCGAGGCAGCCACGTCGACGTGGAAAAAGGCTCGGGCTGCGTTTCAATATTCACTGCCAGTACGGAAAATCTATAGTTTACGTCACTTATACTATAGATTTTCAGTACTGGCAGTGAATATCGAAACGCAACCTCGGTCTTCATAGCTAAATCTTTTTGCACCTCTCACCTTGTCTGTTTTTTCTTCCTGTATAATGTCCAACTACATATTTATTTTATTTTTATTACCGAAAGTGTAAAATAGTACAAAGAACAGACCTCTCATATATCAAGATTGAGATTTTAAGATCCGAGATTTTATTCCAGGGCGTTTGAGGGAATAAAACGAGCCCGTAGTTTCGCTGAGAGATGTTTTCTATTCTAGAATTTTTTCACAAATATTTTGAAGATTAATGCCATCCAGGAGTTACCCGGTGATTTTGTAAATAAAAATCATTTTTCTGATAAAATATAAATTATTCTTGGCAAAAATAGCAAACTTGGTTGTTTTGGATATTTATACATTTAAATATTTATATACGGGATTGTGTCTGTCCGGATAAATAATTCGCAGAGCGTATATTACTTTATCAATAGGAGAGAATAGGGTGCGAAATGTGATATAGTAGCTGTAACCGGACTTGCATCATAAAAGTTTATCCCTGTTTAGTCATACATGTTTACCTGATACAGTGTGGGAACTTTTAATGGGGTATTTTCCCAGAGACTCTTCTGAGTATATCTTATTTATTGCTTATAATTGTTTTTTTTACAAATCTCTTTTAATGTAATGTACAAAATGTATTGCAATTGATTTTTCATAATTATTGATGCCACAGAATTATTACAGAAGTGATGAAGGGGATTATATATGACAACATCGTCTTATTTTATTGCAGTAATATTATATTGACATTAATCAGGCTAATGAACAAAAGATTTATTATTTTTATTGTTGCTAGATCCTTTATCAATTAATTAATTAATCATTTATATGATTAATCCATTTTGCAATAATTATATGAAGCTAACTGAACAATTTTTGAATGAAGAATGTTATAAATTACGAATCACAAATCATGACTCATCATGTTACATTTGAGTATTAATAGTAACTAAATTGCTGAATAAATAAATAAAAACATTTAAAAAAACTTATAATCCTAATCGAACAAAATACGTAAACGCATGTTCTGAAATATAAAAAAAATTGCAGGAGCATAATCTTAAAAAACGGCGTAGTAATATGCATTGAACCTTTTTAGGGGGAAGAAACAAGGAGAAAACCAAACAAACCCCACGTGAGCTTATCATCACCGAAGTGGCGGTCACGCAAAGTTCCGATATGAGGGAGTCTAAAAGAGACTGGATTTTTAGAGTCCAGGTAATTTTTGCACCTTTGCACTTTGGTCTTTTTTATTTCAATACTCTTGCATAGATATTTTCAGCAATTTTAATTAAAAAAGAACAAAACTAAATATTTTTACATGCAATTGAAACTTGCTTTAAATTTGAAGGTACCTAACTTGGAGAAAAATGAAGTGGTTTATGTGGTTGGAAATTTGCCTGAGTTGGGTGCTTGGAATCACAACCAGGCTATCCAGATGTCGCAAGAACATAGCAGTCGGAGAGGGTCTCCTATAATGTTAGATAATAACAGCAGCGGGGATTTCTATAACGAAGATGGGGACAATGCAGCTGACGGCATATTTGAAGAGTAAGTATACAATATAAAAAGATATCGTTTCTTTTAATTGCAAAAGCTATGCAAAATCTTTTTCTGTCTTTTCTTCATTTTTTTCTTTGCATACAGAAAAAAATTTGTATAGAACGTGTTCTACATATTATATTAAGTATATATTAACTTATATACTTTGTATTGAATACTATCAATGGTTTTAAAATTAAATTTATCCGATAATTTGTAAACAAAGAAGGAAATGTACTGGCAAATATTTATTTTAAGTACATATTTATACTTTTATGAATATTTGCTTAAAGCGTTTGTTCTTTTTTTTTTCAAGTTATAAAAATATTAATCACTATGCTTACTATATCATGTCTTACAATGTAAATATATTCCAGAGATGGACGAATATTCTCGCAGAAAGTTGCTCTTCCCATCGACGCAAATATCGAGTTTCGATATTTTATAGCTGTTATCTGCGAATCGAACGGCACTAAAAATTCGGCCAAAACTCTGATTATCCGCAGATGGGAAACTCACATGACACCACGAGTAATTAAGAGAAATAGTATGTATTTATTGATCATATTTTTGTAACTAAAATATATGCTGCATAAGTTATAACTATAATATATGCTGCAAACATTAGAAAAAATAAATTTACAGAACATATAATACCTTTAAAAAATATATTGTAAATTATACAATTAATCTATTTTGCAGCACCAAGTAATTTTGACAATGACACATTGCCAGATCCTGACAAATTTGGCTATCATAATAATTACAGCAAGATTGAACAAGGTTGGCTGACAGATGAGACTGTGATACAATTTAAACTTTTTAACAATCCTGTTAAACTCTGGAAGAACCGGTTGCAAAACAAAAAAGTTCATATTAAGGTAATATTATTACTCTATTTTATTTCTATTGTTTAATATCTTTACTTTTAAAAAGAATTTTACATTTTAATTAAAAACAAAAATTAATGAACTGTTTACTTGTAAAATAATAAATACATTAGAGATATTCAGCTTTTTCACAAAAAGTTATTTTCAAACTGATAACTGACATTTCATTTATGTTACAGATGACACCTGTAAATCTAGTTAGGCATAATTCTTTAGAACTGCAACAGTTTGGAGGCGAATGTATAGACGACAGTCTTTCTATGGATACGCAAGATATTGTTGATCAACCCGCTTTTACCAGTATTACAGAAATTGCTGTAAGTGTTAATTTTAGATACCTACATACATCATCATCTCGAGTATAATAATCGAGCAACGCTTACGTGTATTTCCAGGTGATGAATGATGAAGAGGCTAGATTCAAGTCCCAGGAGCAATTCGGCCGTCCTCACAATGAAGACGAATTTTTAATCTTCAATGTTGCCGTTCGGTATCCTGAAACAATCGTAAGTTTCCACGTGGATAGTCTCATCACAAGGCATCATACTATATATACACTATTATGTGAAAAGCTGGGATTTATTGCTTGCATTGCTTGCGATTTTACTGTACACACTTTCGAATGCGATCTCTTTAGTTTTTCAACTATATCAGTTTGAAGTTTCATCCGTTCAAAGATGTCACATCCGCTTCTTCCGATACTCGTGCAATGTGGTACTTCGATGTCACGACGAAATAAAAAATACACTGACATTTCCCTTAGGCCTTATTTGATCTTTCATGTAAAATTATTTACGCGCATTTATAAATTCTCGGGGAAACCCATGCGTAACATGACCGCCGAACAAGAAAATCGTTGGCACGGCAGAGCAATAAATTACTGGTTAGTGATGTGATTCACAAAACGAACTGAGCACACTAAGAATACGCATTGACCATATCATGTGAGTTTTCAGTAGACCACGAGTAGGCCGGCCACGTCTCTTCGCGCGACTTGTTCGAATTACTTGGTAAACGATAATTAAACTTGTCCAGCAGCTATCTCCCTCCTCGGAAATGCCAACAGCGACGTGATCGCGCGGTGTCCAGTCCCGAGGAACACGAAGACGACCTGTTCAACTTGTACAAAAGCAAGACCTCTGGTGCAAATGATGATGCTAACATGCAATCTGATGTTTCGATGCTAAGCATCGTCTACCACTTTACATCTGTGTCACATGACATCACACAGAGATATGATGGTTTTGATTGTCGTTTACCTTACCAGACCTATCCTTCGGCTGGTCTCTCGTAAATCGTCTCGTGTGCTTTTTGTTTCCTATCGAAATTACATAAATTGATTGATTAACAACAAGTAATTGCGATTCTGGTCCATTCGAATTGGATCCAAATGGATCCGAAGTCTTATTTCGTTTCGTTGTGTTCATGTCCGTTGTTTCCTCGATTTACGCGAGTTGCAGCCATTCCGTAAACTCCTAAAAATGTTGCGATATCAACGCTATCACATCTCATATCCATCTGTGTGCGTCGAAAATGGTGAGATTCCCATCACTCCTATATCCTTTTAGTATACTACTAATATTTTCTAGCTCTGACCGACTTCTTCTGTACGTGTCACCGCTGTGCGGCCAATGCCAGAATCTATGCTGTCAGAATCTTCTGAATCCGAATTGCAAACGTTGCTGACTTGCTCTTTCTAATCTCTTTATCTCTATTTCGCTCTGTCGAAATTTAACATTGAATGATCTCGGCAGGTGTTGCGGAATACGCGTCACCAGGCAGTGTACAACGTTTAGCAATTATTGATCCGATTCATTGCTAGATTACCAGAAATTTGTTGCTCTTGCCTACCAACGATTCAAAATTTCTACGCCGGAAGCTTCAGGCAACTTAGTTTACATAGTAGGATGTATGCTGAAGGAATATTCGCAAATTAATGATATACTTTATTACTTTATTAAACAAGTTTCGAAACAATATAAATCGCCTGTTGTGGCAAAGAAAACAAACAAAATTCTTACTTCAAAACCAAAAAACTGAATTATTTGCTCTTATTTGCCTGACCTTAATCATAGAACGTGATTAATATTGAAGCAAGCACGCAAAGTGGATGAGCTATTGTACTGAAAGAAATATATTGGTGTTGTTCAAAGTGTTACGGTCTTTTCGATGAAGCATTAAGTAGACTGTTTTTCCAGGGGTACTTAGTGGACTACTACGTGCACAGCTCAAGATGTTTCCCAGGAGAACCACCAAATCACATTGGTTTCAGCTACATCTTGCCGGGTGCTTTACAACCTAGCGTTGGACTTCTGACGGTACCAATTACTAGTACAAAACATAGACCTATTGGTAAGTAAAAAAATACTCTAATAAATAGTGTTAATTAGTAAGGATATTTTTATCCCGTTATTATAAATTATAAATTATATGATGTAATAATGCCAAATCAAACATTTAATTTTGTAATAATAATGTTTATCACTGTGTGATTTAAAGAATAAATTCTTGAACATATTACATTCGACCTTTATTCCGTTCAAACTACAAGATAATACTGATTAATTGCATAAAAATTTACCAAAAGACTAAATACTAACTAGAAAGTCACAGTTGATCGATTCACGTTTATATTTTATGTAAACAATAATAATCTCATATGTATTGTTTCTTTTCTGCAATAAGCTTTTATATTAAAGGCCAACTGACGGTGGAATATGTTGTCATAAAACCAATACCGGATCATCCATGGGACATGAGCATCTCATACGCGAAGCATTGGGAACAGCGTTGGTCAGGCTTAGATGTAGGACACAGAGGACTTGGTACATCTTTCAAATTCGAAACAAAGAAGTAAGTTGATTTATATCTAAACACTATTTATCCGACATACCTGTATAAAATCAAAAAATTTCTTTTTATTGCTTTTTATATTTATAATTTTATAAAAAATGTCTTTTTTAAGATGTACTATATTCTAATTTGAAAATAAAATCTTTACAGTTGTGCTAACGTGCGCGAGAACACAGTCGCATCATTGAAAACCGCGTCTCATCACGGTGCAGACATGGTCGAGTTCGATGTCCAGCTATCGAAGGATCTTATACCTGTGATCTACCATGACTTTTACGTATCCATCTCAATGAAGCGTAAGAAGCAGATAGAGGCTATGGATATGCTAGAGATACCTGTCAAAGATCTTACTTTAGAGCAGCTTCATCTACTCAAGGTATGAATTAATTACGATAACTGATGTTTCTTATATCATGCATTTTCATTTCTTGCATTTTTGAACATATTTATACACTTATTTTTTACATTTATATCATATTGAAACAATATATATCAATTTTGTTGATAATTAATATGATTAACATTTATATGTCGATTTTTCATAGTCTTATTAAACGAACACATGTATGTTTTATTAAGTTTTATTATATTTTTTATAACACAAACTAATATTTATAGAAAATAACTGTATGTTAAATTGTATTTAGAGATTAATATTGTGCTCTTGGGACATATAATTAATTAAGCCGATGGAAGAACGTTTTGAAAAATGTATTTATCTCTCATTTATCTCTTGTTTAAAAGAAAAACGGCATAAGGCGCAACAAATCTAATTTTTAAAAAGTATGCTAGACAGAGAATTATATTATTTATTATATTCTATATAGATTATATACGCAAAAAATTATAATTTTCATTAATTACTGATCTTCCGCTAGCTTAATTAACAAATGCATCCATTATAGTTGGTAACACTAGTTGAATGACGATGGGAAACACCTCTTCGGAAATGCTTCGCGTATCAATGTTTTGCTTTTTATGTCTCTTTTATCTTAGTAAAGGAAAAGTAGATTACTACGCAGGAGTATGTCGTACGTAAACGTCCATCAGCTCACACATTCAAACCAGCCAACATTCAAAAATGACATGCTCTTCCGTATTTGTCTATTTTTTAATATTCAACAGGATTATTGTTACCCGAGGGACTCGTTGGGTAAGGTGCTCTATTACGTTGATAAAGCTGAGAAGGGGGTTAACAGTCTGGTGAGCTTTTATACTGCTTGCGCCGGCTAACTCGTCGCTCAAAATGTATAACCAATATACTCATCTGACTTGCATGCTTTTTTTAAAAGCTACCAAGCGATCGAATCAAATATCTGAAATACTATTGTTATTACGAGAAACAATATTCTTTCTCAATATGCAATGTTGTGCTTTTCTTAGAAGCTATAATTGAATGTTTATCTAAATTGAAATTTATCTCTTTTTCTTTTCAAGCGTGAGTTTTAATAATAAAACTCGCCAGCAGATTACAACTAAAAATGATTCTCAGTTGGTGTCTACTTGCAAGATTTATATGATTCTCTCGATAGCAAAACTCTGGTAAATAGATTAAAACTGAATCCCGCGATTAGTTTGACATTTTCAAAGCTTTATTGTTGCTCTCAAAAAACAAAATATATTCGATGAACATTCAGTCTGATAGCTTGTAGTAAGTCATAAGATTGGTCCAATTTCAAATCATTATGCAAATGCAAAAAAACGGCTAAAGTAACGTTCATGAAGTGTCTTCTAATATTTCTAGACACATTCTGGATTCTTAATAAAATTATTAATCACCAGTTTCACCCCCTACGACTATATACAAATGCTCACACTTTGAATTAAACCTCATTAAAAAGTGCGAGGATAGAATTTCAGGACTGAGCTGATATGAGAGATTAATGAGAAAATTTTATTAAAATATCTCTTCAAAAGTTATATCAAAGTGTGAAAGGATGGAGTAATGTAAATATTTTTTCTTATAATTGTTTTTCTGCAGCTCAGTTTCCTAAAATGTTTCCGACGCATCTTGTGCAATTTCGTCGATCATAGCACGCGACTAACATATCACGAATGGCACGAAATTACAAGATGTATTTGCATTGAGCCAGTACGGTTGTTTTGTCCGTTGCTTTGAACGTTCATTACGTCAATGACAATATGATCTACTTTGTCGACTCCTAAATAATTAAATGAATATCATACGTGTACGTATATTTCATTAGCGAGATTTTTCTTTCAGGTTTATCACGTAGCTGAAGGTCGTGAGAAAAATCCGAGATTCTTTGACGAGGATTTGGAAGATCATCAGCCCTTCCCTACGCTACAAACTGTGCTGCAAGAACTCGAGCAACACGTTGGATGCAATATCGAAATTAAATGGACCATGCAATTGAAGGTGAGAATGCTTTTAGTATAATATCATACAATACTTTTCTTTTTAACAGTTAATAACAAGTTAAATTGATCTTTCTGCCATCAGGACGGCACGTTCGAACTCAATCATCCCTTCGATCTCAACATGTATCTAGATATTATTTTAAAAGTGGTATTAGAATACGGGGGTCATCGAAAAATCGTGTTTTCTTCGTTCAATCCGGATATATGCGCAATGATCCGTCTCAAACAAAACAAGTATCCAGTGGTGTTTTTAACACAAGGCATTACATCGAAATATCCCACTTATCACGATCCAAGATGCCAAACGATACCGATGGCCATGAGACACGCATTAACCGCAGATATCCTAGGAATTAACGTCCATACCGAAGATATTCTTCGGGATCCGTCTCAAGTCAAGTTAGTCAAGGATGCGGGATTAATTATCTTCTGCTGGGGCGACGACAACAATGATAAGGGTACTATTCAGTATCTGAAGAAACTCGGCTTACATGCGGTTATATACGATAAGTAAGTCACGCACCGAATACAAATCCAATTCAAAAGCCAATAATTTAATCAGATTGAAGATATTGAGATAATAATTGTCTCGTTTGAGAAATCTTTGCGTGTATATATTTTACGTTTTTAATGTTATTTTTAGAATCGATGAATATAACGCGAAAGAAGTGAAGGAGAGTATATTCTTAGTGGACGCTAGAGAAAGCCAGAAAGAGCTGATAGCCTTGGCACACTGCAATCAAACACCACAGACACAAATCTCTACTCCCCTCAACACAGAAAAGGTAATTATCTTTTAATAGATATTATTAACATGCGACATGCATAAGAACAACAAAGTATATAGCAGATCCTCTCAATAAGTTTACAAATAATTTTAAATTTTAAACATATTTGCAAAATATTACATATAACGCAAATATTACGTATCCCACATATTTTTATTTTATATTAAGATTTACTAAATTTAAAGCACTAGTATCTGTAAGAAATAATATTTTCTTCAAAAACGCATTTCTTTTTTATCATAATATTCATACTTGAACCCGAGTGTACAATAAAATTTACACTCTAAACGTACGAAGCATGAAATGTATTTGAATAATGTTGATTTAGGAATATTATTTGAATCGACCGTCAACGACCACGTCGTTGAAGAACATTATTGGCGGTGACAGCATATATTCCGTGCCAAACATGAAGTTGCCGACCAACTGCGAGGAGAGCATAGAAATTAACGAAATGACCAAGGATTTCAGTGCCTGCGCGAACACTTTTGGCCATTCGGTGAAAGCAAACGGCGCATCCGACGTAATTTGTAAACAACCGACTCCTCTACCTGAGTTTTATGGAGAAGACGAGGCGGCGAAGGATTGCCTCTGATGCTTTTCCTTCAAAAAATCCTTCTTCTCATGGTTTTCATGGAGAAGTGTCAATAAGAAGGATCCTACGCCACGCGATGACAGGAAGAACTTTTTTGTAATTTATGATACGCTGTAATTGATAGGCCGGAATATTATCGAGAATTATGTACTTCTGAAATCTGTGTGGCGCTCTTATATAGATCGTCATACAGATTATATTTAAATAACCCGGAATCAAAACCAATCAATGTTGTTCTGAGATTTGTCAAAGGACCTATTCTGCATTCAACATTTAGCTTTAAGTATAACTATATGATACACAGCCTATTGCGTGATTGTTTCGCACCTTAAAAAGCAATCAGATTAATCATGTCTAACGGTAATAGTGAAACTTACAATTTCAATAAATCCTACTGACAGATCATAGAATAATATTGATTGCTTTAAGATATCGATATAGTACGTGATGTGCAAAGAAAAATAATCCGATTTACTATTCTCATATTTTTCCAATCGGTCCATTTTTTTGCGCATTGTACAGCGTGTGTCGGAAAAAGTGTGTAGCCGGATACTCGTGAAGAAATTGGGAATTGATCCTTCTTTAATCCTAAATATATTATTCAATTAGTAGATAATCATATATTTGCACTTTTCCAAACTTTATTCAACGATGGCTGTAATTTTTAGTCGAAATGTTAAAAATTTAAAAACTCAGAACGAGTCCAAGTTTTAAAGAATCTAGACACGCAAAGATTTAAAATGTCTATGTTCCATATGTCCAAATTGAAATCTAGGTATTCAAAAATTTAAACACAAAGATCTAGGAACCTATATAGATCTAACGATTCAACGATCGAAATGCCTAAAAATGTAGAAATGTAGGAATCTGAGAATAGAGTTTTACTTATATTAGATAGTTCGTTATTTAATTGCTAGATTACGTATTCCCTATAAAAAGAAATTGCAAGCGGATTGTTTAATCCATTCGTTACCGGCATACAACTGTTTCCACGCGCTCCACGTGCACTCTAGTAACTTTAAACAAGAATATTCTTAGTGTACTAATGAATCCTGCGCAGGATGTAGAACGATTTTAACTCCCACGAGTCCGCTCGCGGTGAGCCGGTGCGGGAGTTATGTTTTTAGTACAAATGTCTTCAGGTATATATTTTTATTTATAATCAGGAAGAAAACAATTCTCTCCTCTCGTATCTCTTCCGCTGTCGATTTAAACGTTACAATACGCGAACGGAGAAAAGGAAAAGAGAGACAGAAAAAAAGCAAACGAAGAAGACGAAGAAAAATAGCAAATTGCTCGTTACGCGGATAGCAAACTAAATGCCATTAGTTGATACGATTTTTTACGAGCTGTCGAACGAAAAATCGCGCCGAATGCGAGAGCGAATGATCGCGCCGCACCTCGAATTGCCTTCTCGACAGCTGTACCTCAAGTTTTAATAAGACCGTAACGTAAACTATTTTTCGTAATCATCTAGGAAGTACTTCATGTTCATTTATTTATGTCATCTGACAATTCGCACGATCAGCACGAGCGTATGATCAAGAAAAATAAAGAAAAATCGTAAAAGGAGCACGCACACATCTCGTTCATTTTTTTTCCATTTTTTGTTTCGTCACACTTTTAACACTGACATCAAGTCAGTGCGTAGTTTTGCTCATTCTGAGTAGTCTTACGGTAACGCTGCGAATAATTTACAGTCTCTTCGTGGTGTACAACAGACGCCCGATGTTCAGATGTACTTCCGACTCGGTCGCGCGAGAGACCTGCCGTCGCGTCGGGAGTACTTTTCGGCGAGGAAAGCTCCGGGACGTGTCGGTCTCTCGCCGATTTTTAGCGCACCAAGTGCGATCGGAGGGCATCGAACGCGAGAAGCATCATTCGCTTTCTAGCAAACAGTCTCCCGAATGCATATGTTCTTTCGAGAGAAAAATAACGTTAACCCTTCAACCGATAGCGTTGTCCATCCATAGCTTAGTGGCATGAACGAGCCGAGCTCGTCGCACCGTCCGCTTCGATTTTTGATATCACGAAATAATTCGCGTTTTTTTCATTGACGACAAGCGATACACCTCGCCGTGGATAAATGGGGAACCAACGCTTTGCGCTCGGAATGCACTTGTCATAACAAAACATTAGGTCGGGGCATACTTATTTGTCCGTCAACGCCGACTAAAAGTTTTGCCATCGCAATTTCCAAATTGCAGGTTTATCAATGGGGTACGGAAATAGAGACGGATAAAATTATCCAACAGGTTATTGAATAGTGAAATCAGATTGTCGCTTGTGCGACGTGATTAAAGGAAATTTAATTAACTAAGGGATCTAGATAAGACAAATATAAGCGGCAGCTTTGCGCCGATATAATGATCTCGTGAATAATGGATGTAATGGGGGGTACGGGTCCGGATACCTATATATTAGAAATACTAATAATCATTCTTATTATTATAAGTATAATAATACCGTATTAGCATTTGTATCATAGCGCATCGAGGTCCTGTTATAATAATTTAATAATAACCTATTGTTAAAAGATTATACGCTACGATAACATAATGCTGTTATATTATTACAATGGTAATATCGACACGAGATGCGGATCGAAACCGGGTTGATGCTTCGCAGCGCAAAGAGTTGATCTGCCGGCTGAAGGGTTGAAGGAAACGGACGTGCAGCGGCACGCCGAGCGTCTTTGTAAAATTTTTTACAGGAAAGGTAACATGCGTACTGCATTGAGATAGCAAAAAAAAAAAAGAAGCTGTAACAGGCTAATTGTATCAAGAGTGATTGTATCAATCGTCGAGACTCTGGCAATGTACAGTACATTTGTTGAAAGGATACTAAGCAAATACACGATCTGTACGTTACTGCGAGATCACGTCGCTGCACTATGCGGGGGGTGTGATATTACAATACTTCTCTTTCCTTTTTTTCCCCGGTCGCCTTGCCGCGGAGGCCGAGCGTCCCTTTAAACTTTCTGCGTCCAACGCAAGTAGCGACTATATAAAAATCGCGGATGTCCTCTCGCCGAGGAAGGATTCGAACTTCAAGATAACGCAATTAAACGCCGAAAAAACGAAAGGCTAACAATGCGGAACGCTAATTAAATCGGGAAAACACCTCAGACTTTCTTATCGACGATAATTATTTTTTTATAGATTATACGGCATCAACCGGCGAGTACTGTATTAATAATTAGCGTTAATAAGTGTAAACGGCAAAGAGATAAGCTCGGAGCTTAAATGTCATGAGATTCGAGTGTGTATTCCGAGATAACGGCTTAAATCCGCGATTTTGCATACTTATAATTGAGATAAAGATCGCAGAATCGGCTTTAGAGAAAATTTATGCGCATTTATAACAGTCTTACCTAGTTTCAATATCTTTATAGGAACTTACCGTTCCAGCTTGGCTTTTTCTGACTTATTAAATTTCTTATGATAAGTATAGATTTTATCTGATGGAATGCGGGAAGAAATCTAAAGCCGACACCGAGATAATTAAAATACTCAGATGCAACCTTTTCTCATTTTCCATCTATTATATATTGTTATTAACATATCAGTATATATGTATGTATATATATGTATTATATATTAGAACGATTCATTTTTCCTGTTTAAGTTCTGAGCAACTCCATGCGTCAGTTGGCGAACTTTATAAGTTTTGCGAACTCGATGTGTCACGGTCTCCGAAACCGTTTTAACCGATAAACTCGGAGCATAGTTAAGATTTCTAATGATTGTCTATCTTTACTTCTATTTTGTTCATATTATACGACACAACGATCGAGAAGGATTGAAGTAATTTATTCTTGCCGAGATAATAAAACATTTGTATTATCAAAACGTCTGTCTTTGCCGATGATTGTGAATAATGTTGACCTTCAACTTCCTCCCTGCGTTTTTAGACGTATTAAGAGTTTTTTAGAGGACATCCTGTGATCTCGAGATAGGTACTCTACGTATATATATATATATATATATATGTATTATAATTTTATAAATTCTAAAATTATAGTTAAATTTTCATGTGTATAACGTATATACACAGAGTATCTCAAAACTACAGAATCTATACATATACATGTACTATATACACACAAATATATGTAGTGTACATGTATATTTATTTTTATTAATGAAAGCAAAATTTGTGCAAGAAACCACCGAGAATGCCACGAAAGGGGCGACAAATTAAAAAAAAAACGATACTTAAAATATATTCGACAATCGAAGGAAAAATTAGAAATGCTTCCGGAAGTAATGAAGATCAATATACGGAAGAAAACGAAAGTGAGAGCAAAGAATCAATGACATAACTTCTAAATCTGAAAATATCAATTTTCTAAATAATATGTTTAATAAATCAAGTAATATCTATTTGTTTTATCTCTTGATTCTCGAAAATATCGAAATTGGGAATTAAAAGGTAAGTATCATTGAATGTTTGTAGAACGGAAATATCGAGACTCTAGCAATGTATAGTGTATACATGTATACATAGCAATGTATACATTTGTTGAAAGGATATACTAAGCAAATACACGATCTGTACGTTTATACCGCGGGATCACGCCCCGTTGAACTATGCGGGGGGTGATATTACAATACTTCTCTTTCCTTTTTTTTCCCCAGTCGCCTTGCCGCGGAGGCCGAGCGTCCCTTTAAAACTTTCTGCGTCCAACGCAAGTAGCGAGTGAGTGGTTAAAAATGGGCCGTTAAATTATAAATAATAATTATATTCTTATACGGGTTCTCCGATCAACCTCTTGCAAAATCAAAACAGATACGCAGAATAAGGGTTGAAATCAAATCCAGAACCCAATCACTCTCGCACGCGTCGCCTACATTTTTTACGAATTATCGTTGAAATATGAATAAAAGAAAATAATCACAAAGGACATCTGCCGCTCATATCTTTATATTATCTGGAAATTCTCAAAATAACATATTGCCTTTGTTAAAGCGTACATTATCGATCATTTTTATCATGTAAATATTTTTTGTAAGTATTTACTTATAATTTTGTTATTTTTGAATACTTAATTCTTTCTGTTTCTTTTTTTTCATAATTTGACTTTTTTGGGCAATGATCTCATTTTTTTTTAGAAATATTGCAGAAGTACATTAATAACATCGGATCGTCACCGGGTTTATCCTGGTGTAAACCGAAAGATACAAATATATAATTTGATACGGATACAGTACTTGGTACGCGTATCAAACGGTCGGTGTATAAACTAGGCCATATTTTAAATTATATTTATATTAAAATATTTCACTAATAAAAATATGTATAAATATGTTTTTTTTTTGTTCTTCTCAGGTAGTGGTTCAATTAAACAACACGCGTCACGGCTTATATCACAGTTTTATTCGTCATATAAATGAATGGAAGACAGTTATTTTTATTGATGAAACATTAACTGAGATTGAGCGTCTATCACGAGACCTTATGATTTTGATTAGAAATAATCAACCCGTAAGTGTAATTGAAGATCGTTTAGACTTTATACGATACGAATTAAGTCCAGAAAGTAAGTTTACTAAGTTCTGTTTTTTATATTATATGTTAGACGTCAAGTCAAACTGGCAACATATTTAATAAAATTAAAAAATTTTTTTTATTAGATCTACAAATAGTAAAAATACTGTTGGCTAAAATTCAGATGTCAATGTATAGTTTTATACAAGAAAACATCACCATCGACAATTATCTGGGAAGAGATATTAATACAAACGGTCGTGAGCAACTACTTTTTAGAGTAAAAACAACAAATGGAGCATACAAAGTTATGGTAATATGTGTGTCGGAAGAACTGTTTGAGTCTGATGAGACAATAGGAGACACCCGCTCAATAAGAACAGGCATCACTGTTTTCTTTAGATCATGGGCCAAAGATCAACTCATAACTGAGACAAAAGAAGAAATGCTAAAGAAAAGAAATAATTAAATTTTTATATGTTTTATACATACATTCATTTTTATAATAAAATACTAAAGTAGATCTTACTTTAACGGATAAACAAGATAAGTGTATCTTATCTTGTTTATCTATTATTATCGATAATATTACTACTATTTTTGCAACAATAAATGAATCATTATTACAAAAGCAATAATTTAACTCATTTTTTTGAATTATCCGATTTTTTAAAATGAATTTTGCAATTACGTTTGTAAGATTTAAAAAATAAGACACTTAAAATTTACATTAGTTGAAGAATTGGCATCGTTTTATTGAAATATTCCATTCTTTCTCTATAAAACTAGAACCAACATCTTTTAAAAGATCAAGTGTTTTCTTTAATTTAAACGTGTCAAAGACGCTTAAATGATTAAAAAAATAAATTTATTTAAATTTATCCTTATTTTCTTCCTCTTGTTTCTCAGTATCATTTAAAGGTTTGTCCAATTTATCATATCCTTCATCCCCCATTTGCTCTTTAAATTGTTTAATTCGTTTGGCTTGTTCTTCCAATTCTTCTCGAGTTATTACTTCAATGTTAGGATACACTTCTCTAAGTTTGTACGGACAACATCTTTGATTATCCAATTGTTCGAGCCTTTGGAGTTTTTGTTCATGAGTCTTACATGGACCTTTTTCATCTTCTTCTTGATAATCATCATAATAAAGAGCATCCTCTTGATAGCACTCTGGAGGTAATTTCTCTTCTTCGTTTAAACTTTTATTTACAATTTCGGATGACATGATCCTGTAAGAGAGAATTTAATTTTTACCTATGATACGGTCCAGTTTGTGGGGTTTGATTTAATTTGTTCATTTGAGTTTTTTCTTATCTATGGATTTTTTTCATCTTAGGGGTCTTTTATTATTGAGGTTATAAATTAATTTTCAACAGATGTTTCAGACGCAAATCAAAATTCATCACACAATCGCACACACGTACAAAACACGAATACTCCCTCACAAACAAACTCAAGTTTTTTTTAAATTATTTTGGCGAATTAAGTTTCTTTTAATTTATTCTAGCCAAGGCTATGTCGGTCGGATTAACTGTTAATAATTACCAAGATTTCCGTTGCTCAAAGGACTCGTAGGTAAGTAAATCGTTGATTTAAAATTTTAAGAAAAAATAATTGTTTGTTAATTTTAATTCAGACAAATGAGTGGTCTTCAACTTTCTGATTTCTTGACCTTCGAAATAACGGATTGTTTGACGCAAGACAATAAACAAGGGGGAGGGGGGATGTTAAGAGTAGTTAGTTCCGTTCAGTGCAGTGCAGTATGAACTATGAACTCAGTGTAGCAATAAAGAACAAACCCATGATGGATTAAGCTGGATTCAGACAGGACTCGTCAAGCGTAGCAGCGAGCAGCAACCAATCAGCGAGGCGATATTTTCCACGCCACTGATGATATCACCTCGCTGATTGGGTTGCTGCTCGCTGCTTGACGTGCGTGCGTGCGTCCTGTCTGAATCCAGCTTTTGGGCCGGGGGCAGGAGGCCGGGGGCAGTCGAAGCGTCAACGAGAACGAGGCGAAGCACCGTGCCGACTGGCGCGGTTTCACGGCGTTTTACGTGGTTTTACGTCACGATCGCCTGGCCTGGCACGTCTCGCGCCCGTCGCGGCACGTCGCACGTTCCTCGCCCCGCGACGAGGTCTAAGGTTGTCGCCGGTGAACCAGGTGCTTGGCGCGGTACCCGAAGATTCGGGTGGCAAGCTCGCGACTTTCCTGCCGTGATGTTTTGATACGCTCTCGTCCCCGTCCCGCTCTTTCCCTTCCATCTATCTTTCTCTCCCCCCCTCCCCTTTACCTGTATCTTCTGCCGGATTCTGGAGGATGCCCTGCGACTCCGTCCCGTCGACGAAGGTGTGAACCGTTCCCAGGAACGTTTTCCCGAGGCGAGTTGCTCCGGACCTTATTATGCTGTATTCGTCGCCGTCGTCGCCGTCGCCGTCGCCGTCGCCGTCGTCCCGTGATAGGTGCGGAAAGTTCATGGGCACGTGTGTGCGTGTGCGTGCGTTGCGTGCGTGCGTGTATTCGCGCGCAGTCCAGTGAGTCCAGTCCCGCGGACACGCGTACGCGCGCGCGAGTGTGTGTGCGTGCTATGTCATTTGCTTATTTGTGCTTATTTGCAAATTGATCAGGAGCCGAGAGCCTTGCGTTCACGCGCGATGCTGGATCGCCACCGGGGGGATTGTCCTTCAACGCGTTTGCACGGCATGTGTGTTCGCGCTAGGAACGTTTCGCGCGCTCACCCGTGGCGTTTGCCGTTTTGTTAATTAAGAGATTGTTGATCGTCGGGCGTTCCTTCGATTAACAATATCCCCCCCGCGCCCGAGGCGCCAAGTATTTTGTCTCGCTCTGCGACGATCATCTTTGCAGCATGGTATTACAGAAATACGTCAATGATACAGTCCCGGAAAACTCGGTTGCATTGTACTTTTGCAAAATATGTCACTTGCCCGAGACTCGTCTCCCTACGCGTTATGTAAAAGTTTGGACGGGGTTCAACGTGTGTTTCTCGCCGTAAATTCTGGAGTGACTGGAGTAAATTATCGCTGTGCTCTGAATACAATATTAACATTTCAAAACTCAAGGATGATACCTTGGCTATGTGTTTCTAACACCTGCAGTTCGCTTCTTGATGCATGCCTGGATATGAATATTACTGTATGTTATCTCGAAACTTGAGATATCTGACATGTCAAAGATATCGAACATTGTAAAACGGTTATTTAAAGTCTAAGCATATGTCGTAATACGTATCCCGTAAACTCTGTGTTAATCTCTGCAATGTGACATGCAGCTGTGCAAATTTATTCTTGGATGGATGAAGATGTTTCTTATCTGGTATCAAAACCTCAATGACACCATGTAAATAAAATAATAAACTGTACGTCCTTTTTTTTCCCAGATATGACTCTCTCTGTACATACCACACCCTGTAATTGCTCAAGGAATCATCTGATGTCTATGAACGATGACCTGTATGCTGTTAAACGACATTGAGGTGAACACGCTGTGATGGGGTGGACGATATCCACCGCAGCATGGATTGTCATATGGGGCTGCCTGCTGCCGGGCTTCTATTTAGCTCCGCAGGCATCTCCAAAGCAAGTGCCGTGCGATAAGACGAGAAAGGTCTTCACGGACTCGTGGGGAATCATCAGCGATGGACCCACGGGCTCGAATTACACTCAAGATTCTCACTGCGAGTGGCTCATCAAAGGTACGGATAAAAGTACTTACCGTTCTTACAGCAGGAAAGTACAACTAATATGCAATTCACATTACTTGTCTCTGTGTTGCAGCTAACCATAGCCGCCAATTTATTACATTAAGCTTTCGAACGATGGGCACAGAATGTAGTTATGACTATGTGTTTGTTTATGATGGGGATTCCTTTCGCTCACCGCTTCTGGGTAGTTTTAGTGGCAAAACGGAGCCGCAGCAAGTGACGTCATCATCTGGTTATGTAAGTATACGTATCCCACGGTAATAACGTTTATAATGGATTACAGATTAAAGATTTTACAGTGACGTATTATCTGCATTAACGATTGATGTTATATGGCACTAATTAAATATAAAAAATATAATTTTTCATAATAAAAGATTATGTAAACTAGTTATATATTATATATAAAAATATATTGAAACACTATATATAATTAAAATATAATATAGGTTACTACTAATAAAATTATTAATAAAATTACGTAATAATAATGAACGGAAATGAAACATGATATAAAATGTTGTTATATAGCGCGAGATACTATAACATTATTATTTTTTTTTTACAGATGTTGATATTATTATATAGTGACACAAATTACGTCCTAGATGGTTTTCATGCAGAATTTTCGGTCACGGATTGTCCGAACAATTGTACTCATCATGGAAAGTGCATTAACAATACGTGCTTCTGCGAAAACGATTGGGGAGGTAAAGATTGTTCCCGAGCTCTCTGTCCAAACAATTGCAGTCACGCCGGTGTTTGTGGGATAAAAAGATGCAAATGCAACAATGGATACTCTGGACAATCTTGTTCTTTGCATAAAACACATCCAGAAGGAAATCGGTACGTTAGCCTGTTAAATTATATACGTCTTTGCTTTATACTTACATTATTATTTAACGGTAAAATAACAAAATTACTTTTTTTTTATATTTTGTATTAAATTTTACATATATTAATATGTAATAATAGATGGGACGTGTAGAAATAAAAAGATCTCTATAATAATCTAATTATTTATGTAGGTGGCATTGGCTTTCACATTCGGAAGGTGGACTAAGATCGCGCGCAGCTCATACCGCGACTTATGTTCAGGAAACAGACTCACTTTATGTTTTCGGCGGTTATGATCTCAATTATATACTCAGTGACTTGGAAGTATACAGGTTTAGCACAAGTCAGTGGGAAGACGAATACGGAAGTGTATTAGGTAATTATAAATTAATGCACAAATTTCACGTAAGAATCTTAGGATAAATTGTTATATTTCTTTATAATCTTGGTAATTATATTTTAATTACATATTTTCAACTTTTGTATATAATAAATAATATTAATTTATTACAATGTACATCGTGATAAAATTCTTACTATTTTAAATGTTATAACATTAAAAAAAAGAAAATAACTTCTCAATACTGTTTTACACTCGCAGAAGGTGCTGCATCTGCCGAATATCTAGATCCTACATTGATCGCTACCGAATTACAACGCAATCCTGGTGCCAAAGAGATATACGGCCTACCGACGTCATCTTTATTCTGGAAGGTGCTTTCAAGCATCAAAGATAACAATACGTTTGGCCTGCTCGATCGGACTGCTGACGGCGGTCAGCACGGCTCGCGAGAGTTCAGAAATATGCCTAAGGATAAGGAAAATGAGAAAAGCAGAAGTACCATTAGGATCGATAGGAACGACGATCCCAGAAGAAAGCATCCGCGAAATATAAGACCGCATTATTCGCAAATGTCAACAAGGTAGTAAGTGACAGCTCACGCTCATTAATTCAATATTTCGAAAACAATCTTGGAAACCCAGAATAATACGCTGCTAACCTTGTATTTTATTCATGTAGATAAGCTTGGTAAGCTCTCTGTACATACAAAATGCTTATTACAAATTACGTGCTTTTAATTGGAAATTTTATCATAAGTAAAGATTCATCAAATTTAGTTCAAGTTATTACTTCATGTAAAATTTTATATGTCCATGATTCTTCACGAAAGAAGCATTTAATGCTCCCCTATACAATTCAAGTTAAAGTAATATTTTATTACATGTTTGTTTATAGAAGATATCGCAGAAATTTGGAAAACTTACACAGAGAACGTGACGCAACGGATATGCAGAACGATGACATGAAATGGGAAGAGCAAATCGTGGCGGGATCTTCGGAAGATAATATTTTCATGTCAGAGTTTACGGATCCGAAATTAACCACGAGTGATTCGCTGAAGGAGGAAGTTACAGAGCCAACCATTGACGAATTACCCAAGCCGAGTCCTCGATATGGTCACGCTGCGTGTAAATACCAAGGTCTGTCGATATATAGCGCTTACTAATCTATGCCCATAAAAACACGGTAAAAAATTTTATACTGCAGAAATAAAGGAACTTGCTGCTAATTTTGTACAAAAATCAACACGTTGAAATTTATTACGTTTTATAGCGCTAATTAATATAAGGCGGAACGAATAGTAGATAAGACCTTGTTTCGGAACCAGTATTTTTATTTTACCTTTATCTGTTTTGAATCGGACAAACTGGATTGATATAATAATGAATCTAAGAAATGGAAATGTTTTTTGAAAATATGTTTAATGAGAAAGAAGGAAAGAGAAATCTGTCAGTTTCACTTATTACAAATACAGACAAAAAATGAAAAAAAACATAAAAAATTACTGTGATTTACTGATTTACTATCATAGCACTTTAAGCAAATTATCGTATAATTTATAATTTAAAAAATCGTGAACTTTAAACTAGGCAATTATCATTGGCAAAACGAATAAAGTCTTTGTATTTTCAGATGGCTTTGTGGTCTATGGAGGAAAGGTGCAAGACGGTTCTCTATCGAACGAGCTGTGGCATTACAATGTGAAGAAACGCATGTGGACTTTACGAGCTAAAAACTCCCCTTTCTACCCACCCAGACTGACAAGGCACACTCTATCTTTGGCAGGCGACTATATCTATCTGTTCGGAGGTAGTACCGTTGATGGAGAGTTCTCGTCCAGCCTTTATAAGATCAAGTTGCGTTTAGGTAAGTTCAAATTGATTTATCTTCAGTTTATTAAAGTGAAAAAAAAATCCAAAGAATGTATATTTATACTTTCTATACACATGAAACATGTAGTTTGTACTGACAAATATTAGCGTAACCCATAATTACAGAGGATCCTACGGCAATTAATGAGAGGTGGATAGAAGTGCGACCTCGAGGCGGTAAGGAACTTGATGTACGCGTGGTAGCGCATTCGACTGTATATCATCGTGCTACCAATTCTCTCCTGGTGTACGGCGGCGTGGTCGCCAGCGTTGCCCGTTTCAGTAAATTGTCGGATCGAATGTTCGTCTTTCAACTGGACAGAAAGGTCTGGTCCGAGATCCATTATCCGAGAGCGCACTTGCGAGACACGTACGTGCCGAGAGAACGCGCGTTTCACACATGTAATATCATAGGTAATTATCTGTTTTTATTAAGTAAAATAAATTTTAGAATAAAACATATAAATATAGATATATAACTTTTTTCTTTAAATTACGTGTATAAAGCTTGTTTTATATAAAAATACATACCATAAATAATGCTAAAATTGTACATAAATTGTTTTTTATGTATATAAATTCGATGATAGATTTATAGTGTCTAATGCATTTTAAAATTTAAAATACATAATGCTTTATTTATTATTACCGCAGGAAATTATCTGGTGGTATTCGGTGGATATTCTCATAGACATAACAAGGAGGAGATCTGTTACGATAACCAGATGTATCTTTATCATCTTGGTTGTCATGCTTGGGTGAGCCACGATGTGTTGGGCTTAAACGATAAAGGTAAGGCAAATTTAATTTATTTTACATAAAATTTTTTTTATATTGATTTAAGAATACTGAAAATTTACTTTTTTACTCCTTAGATTCTCGTTATCCTAAGCAACAGGGTGTATTCGCTCATGCGGCAGATGTACGTAACGGAAATACCTTGCTACTCGTTGGTGGGTATCATGGCAATGTAAATGCAGATCTTCTCGCATATACTTTGCCGCCCATGTTAGCACCGGGAGACGAGGATTACGTCGAGCCAGAGCAAATTTGTTCGAGACACAAGAGCCTAATGGAGTGCGCGGCAAATCCCGAATGTGGCTGGTGTTCTGCGGATGAGGTATTTTACTTATTAATCTCACCTCCTATACGATTCATAAAACAATTCTCGTTTTTACGCTCTAATGTGTGAAATTTCCTGGCACATTGCAGATATGCTACGGTCGGACGATAGGTAGCAATTGCACGACGAATTTACAGACAACGCGTTGTCCGGGAGTCTGTCCTGCCTTAGGCGACTGTCACTCTTGTCTGATACACGGACAGCCCGGTGGCGGTTGGGGCACGAATTTCCGCGGTAAGAAGTCCGTCTCAAATAAACTAAATTTGGGCACGTGCACATGGTGTGTCCAAAACGCTCGCTGTCATCACAAAGATGACAATTACGGGGTATGCGGCCTGCGGGACGACACGCCGTCGCAGATACCGGGCTGGTGGGGTTCGAAAGGCACGGAAATTATCAAGGTCGAAGAGTGTCGAGAGATGGACAAGAGACCGGGTTTGACTTTTCTCAAGTACAAGCCACCAGTGAACTTCAGCCAGCCCGATTCAGTCGCCATAGTGAACGCGACTACGGTCGACTTCAACGTACCATCCATGCAAGGCGCGAAGACGGAATCGGCGCTGGGCGGCGAGATGATCGCCAGGCTAACCGGCTTTCTTAGACCGCCAAATTACCTTTGGGACAGTGCGGCAGAGCATCTGAAGATCTGCGTCAGTTATAACAGTGCGACACTTCACGTATCGCGAGACGATAATCCTAATAAGCTGGTGAGTTATTTTTACCATTTAGCAACTGTGCCATACTTTCTAATTGTATTGGAAAGTCATAAAAAGAATAAAAATTATTAAAGAAGAATTCGAGTGGAATTACTTGACGATTACACCATCGGCGTGCGCTAACTGCTCCAACTACATCTGTGAGTTGTGTGTGGGCACCAATTTAAAGACAGTGTTTAAAAAAATAATTTAAAATAATTTTGCCTTTATTCATTCAAGAAAAGAGAATTGGAATATTCTTGTAGCACATAAACCGATCGAATGACTTTAATGTATTTAAGTTTTACTATAATTAAACTATCCATAATTTTTAATTTCTGCTCAGGAACTGGTCGCTAATCTAACCGCGGAGACATCGCAATGTATACCGACGAAATGGGCAGATAGTGGATATCCGATGGAGCTGCAGGCGGGCCGTTATCTGTTGGACTTCGAGTCGAAAAGAATGGTGACCGCGAGCTACGCTTATGCGAGTAAAATGGAAATTACGCATAACAAGAAGATGGAGAATCCGAAAGTCTTCACTTTCGAGTATCTAGAACCGTATCAGAACGGTTCGTGCCATCAGTACGGGAACTGCCTGCACTGCTTGACTGATTCCTCGTGTGGTTGGTGTGACATTACCAATCAATGCCTATCGCGCTCCACCAACGAGACAGAAAGCTGCGCGGTAGACGTGGACTGGGATGAGGAGCGCGGCGAGACGATACGCGAGTGGCATTACTTGACGATTACACCATCGGCGTGCGCTAACTGCTCCAACTACATCTCCTGTGAGTCCTGTGTGGGCACCAACTTGTGCGAATGGTGGACAGAGGAGGCGAGGTGCGCACGAATCGGTCGACTACCCGATGCCGTGGTGAGTTTGGATCAGTGTCCAATCCCGTGCCGACAACGCTCCAATTGCACGCAGTGCCTGGACGAGCGCGGTAGATGCGTGTGGTGCGAGGCCACGCGGGAATGCTTCTCGTTCTCCGTGTATACGTCGGAGTACCAGTTTGGCCTATGTCGAGAGTGGATGGACCAGGCGGGCCTGATGGGCGTCACGTCGCGCAGCGGCTCATCGCTCACCGGCAACGATCAGTGCAAGAGCTGCAGCCGGCACTCCAACTGCTCCAGTTGTCTGCATTCGCTCAGCTGCGGCTGGTGCTACAGCCTGGAGAATCCCATCACCGGCATGTGCGTCCAGGGCGATTTCAATCAGGCTCACGTCAACTGCAGCGCGGTCATCAACGAGTACCGGAATAGCAGTCTAAGGGCCGACGAGTCTGGCTGGGCGTACGCGCAGTGTCCGGATGTAGATGAGTGCGATCTCGGCTTGCACGACTGCCATCCCGATGCGCTTTGCACTAATACCCACGGCAGCTTTAGCTGTCAGTGCAAGCGCGGTTTTAACGGCGACGGCAAAGAGAATTGTACCAAGACCTGTTATGAGAGGTGCGTCAATGGTTATTGCAGCGAGGCTCCGGATTACAAGTGTGAGTGCAACCTGGGCTGGACCGGACCAGATTGTCGGACCAACTGCGGCTGTTACAACCATTCCACGTGCCTGCAGGTACAACGAACAAAAATTGTACACAGAAAATCAAAACTTGTTCCTTGATTCTTAATTATCGAAAATTTGCAATCGGTTTTTCAATTAATAATATTGCTATCTTAATTCGATTTTCAGGGACCAGGCATCTGCGACGAATGTCAAGACTGGACGACTGGACGCTACTGCGAAGAATGTAAGGCAGGAAGTTACGGGAACGCGACCACGCCATTGGGCTGTCGCGAATGCAACTGCAACGGGCACGGCGATGTGGAGCTCGACGTTTGCGATCGACAAACCGGCATGTGTTTCTGCCGCGATAACACCGAGGGCGATAAGTGCCAGCGTTGCAAACGGGGCTACTACGGAGATCCGCGAGACGGCGGAATGTGCTACTATGGCTGCATGTCTCGGGGTATGTTGGGTGGCGAGGGAAATGGGAAACAGGGCCTTGGTAGCCGACACTCCCAATCTTCGCTCTGGGACAATTATATGGGCGACTCGCCGACGAGAGAGTGCCTGTGGATTGTCAGTCCCGAGACGGCTCTCTCTTTGGATGCGACACCAACGATTCAGAGCGTGATACAATTCACTATCCACGATGACATCAATGTAAGTTGCCAGGAGAACAGCGTGTACGTGTATGACGGTCTGCCCGAGTTCGTCTCATCTACCGGTGGTCATCAGAGCCAATTATTGGGCGTGTATTGCACGGAGAGCACCAACTATCCAGTGACGGTGGAGGCGAAATCCGGGTTTCTAACAGTGCACTATAAGCAGCTGGACGAAGTGGAGGGTTTTAATGCGAGCTACGTGATAATGACGTGCAACAACTGCCCGGGGAACCGCGAGTGCCGCAACGGTAACTGTCTCTGCAAATCCGGTTACGTCGGCATCAACTGCGACGTGGAGATCTGTCCGAATAACTGCACTGCTTCTGAGAAACGTGGCGTTTGCGACAAGGGCTATGGCCGTTGCGTTTGCGTGCCAGGCTACGGCGGTCGCGACTGCTCAATCCAGCTCAAAAACTATCAACTAATATTTACGGAACTCTTCAATTCAGAATATTTGGCCGATCATCTGGATCACTTGAGGAAGACGTTGCCGCGCTTCGGACACAGCCTAGTGGCCGATCGGCGCGGCAGTCTGTGGATGTTCGGCGGTTACTCGCTCAGTCACGGACCTCTGAACGACATCAGACTCTTCGACACAAAGAACAACACGTGGATGCCAGTGACAGTGGAATCTACGTCGGAGGCGTCCATGCCGCAGGGCCGGTACTTTCACGCCGCCGAAATTGTTCACAGTAGGCAACAGATCTACGTCTACGGTGGCCTATCAATGAAGGACGAGGACGTACAAGGACTGTCGAACAATACCCTCAACGACTTTTGGAAATTTAGTTTGCAGAACCAGCGATGGAGCCAAATTGTGCAGGACGAGTCAAAGAAGGAGCCACTGCCTTTAGCCGGTCACACATTGACCTTGCGTAGAGACGGAGAATCGGAGAGCCTGATTCTGATCGGTGGTTTCAGTCCTAAGTACGGATACCTAGACACTGTCTGGGAGTTCAATCTGGAGACTGAGACCTGGGACACAGTGAACACTACAGGGAACGGACCCCTAGGTGTTTACGGCCATTCCACGGTATATCATAGTAAGTCCGATAGCTTCTACGTCTTCGGTGGCTACACTTATGCGATAAATAGAACGTTTATTTCGAACAAATTGTACGCCTTGAAGTATAAGACACGAACGTGGTCTGTACTGCCACCCTTTGAGGACTTCACCGATGGCAGCAGTTTACCTCAAGCTAGATTCCTTCATTCCGCGGTCACGACGGACGAATACATGGTGATATTTGGCGGTCGGCAGAATCCTCACAACACATCGGACTCGCTAATAGCGTACAAATACTCGTGCAATATGTGGATAAGTTTAATAACGAAAGACATGGAGACGATCGGCAGGCCGCCCCCGCCTGCGTACGCCCACGCGATGACTCATGCCGATCCGGAGTCGAACGCCGTTTACGTTGTTGGCGGCTTCGACGGTGGTATCAAGAGTCACGTCACGTTGATCAACATACCGGAGGATCTATGCAATCTGTGGAAGGATAAGAACACGTGCAGAAAATATTTCGGTTGCTCGTTCTGCGCCGTCACCACTCTCAACGGCACCAACACCTCCCTCTGTTTCTCGAACGAGGTGTCGAGCAACCGAGGCGACAAGTGTGACATCAACGTGACTCAGGCGCAACGATCAAACGGGATGTCCTGCAACTCGATGTGGACGAACAGGACTTGCGATAACTTCAGGACCTGCACGGAGTGTCTTGCGAAGTGGCCGTATTACGAAGAGCACGACCCGGTTTGTAAGTGGTGCACCAACTGTCCGCACGGCATGGGCAAGTGCATCTCGACGAAAAGCGACTGCGACGAGCAGCAGAAGTCGAACAAATGCAGTTCATCGGTGACCACCGTGAGTCAGTGTGGAGAACGACTGTGCCCGGCGAGCGACTGCGAGAAATGCAACAGCCTGGACAAATGCGTTTGGACGAGGCAGGTTCTGAAAACCAACGAATTGGGACTGAAGCTAACGAGCGAGCCGGTCTACGACTGGAACTGCGTGCTGCTCGAAATCTTCGAGCGGTCCAGCATCAAGCTGAGCAGCGCGCAGTGCGAGAAGAGGTGCTCCGAGCACGAGGACTGCAGAAGCTGCCTGAAGGGTACCGGGGCCGAAGGTGGATGGAGCGAGTGTCGGTGGTCTACGCAATTGAACGAGTGCATCTCCCCATCGTACCAGCCACTTTACTGCGCCGGCGGAGTTTGCGGCTTGGTGCTGCGTAGCCCGGACATGGACCACTGCCCGGAGCCGTGCTCGGTGTTCAAGCAGTGCAGCACCTGCCTGAAGCACTCGCATTGCGGCTGGTGTTCCTTGGACTCTGCCAATATAACCGGTCAAGGAATATGCACGGAGGGATCGCTCGAGGCACCGGCGGACCATCCGGCCGGCGGTACTTGCGAGATGCTTTATCGTCAACACTTCCCGGAGGTCGAGGCGCCGCCGATCACCACGACGTTGCATCCGTATCACGTGGACTCTCTAGAGGCGCAGGACAACGTTACGATGTCGTTGCTCAACGCGATGCCAAAACCGGAATTCTCCTGGCACTACGTCCGCTGTCCACCGGAGAACGAGTGCGAGAATGGGCATCATACGTGTTCGCCGAAGAGCGAGAAGTGTTTCGACCTGGAGGAGGGCTTCGAGTGCAAATGCGGGGACGGATACAAGACTGAGACCACCTGGGGGAACGACTTCGGTAAGAAGATCTGCGTGCCCATGTGCACGCAGGGTTGCGTGAGGGGCACGTGCGTGAAGCCCGATCTCTGCCGCTGTGACTTCGGCTACGTCGGCTCGAACTGCTCCATTCAATGCCAGTGCAACGGGCACAGCGATTGCGCCGGCCCGGACAAGCTCGACAATTGTACGATGTGTCACAACAACACGATGGGGAAGCAATGCGAGAAGTGCCAGCCTCTGTACGTCGGCAATCCCGCGGACAACGGTCAGTGCGTGCCGTGTCTCGAGTACTGCAACGGCCACACTCGGATTTGCATCAACGACAGCATGACCGTGCCCGATCCGGACTCGCTGAAAAAGATGCCGACGGAGAAGCTGAACAAGCAGCTGGGGGAGGGACCGGTGGCGAAAGCGAAGTGCATCGATTGCGGGAACAACACGAGGGGCGACAAGTGCGGCGAATGCATGACCGGCTACTTCCGCGGGACGGAGGACCTTCGCGACGTGTGTCGGTCTTGCGAGTGCCACGGCCACGGCTTCACGTGCGATCCCGTGACCGGCGAGAAGTGCAATTGCGGCAACAACACCGAGAGCGAGCCGTCCTGCATCAGCGGCCCCGTGAAGGGCACGAACACGGGCGTCGCGCCGTGCTGGATGGTGCAATGCAGCAAGTGCAGGGAGAATTACGCCGGCACCCCGACGATGGGTCACCAGTGCTACAAGACCGTCACGGTCGACAATAAAATGTGCTTCGACTCGAAATTAATAGGTGAGCGTAAAACCGTGCAAATGATAAACTAAATCTTTATACAACAACTAATCCAATGCACAAAAATTACCTTACAAGATCTTCATCTGCATAATGTTTCTATTTTTCAACGGTTTATGTAACACTTTACTCGTAATGGCATTTCTATTTCCAAATCACTTCTGTGATTTTTTTTTAATTGATGTGAAAATAAATAATTAACATTAGTATCAATCAATACTATTTCGAAAAAATACCGATACTACGATTTTATTTCACAATGTATGTATTTATACTCAACACATTCGACACTTTGATCAAGTTTTTATTTTTCTTCTTAAATTGCAACGTTCTATTTTGTGTGGAGGAAATGGAGGAAATATCGGTTCGTATCCTCTTTTTTCTATTATAAGCTATTCGATATTTTGCCGTTTTCGTGCGTCTAAAATGAGATTTTACTCCATTTCTTTACTTCAGACGAGTGCAAGTTGAAACCGAAGCCCCTAAACCCTGGCCAAACCGTCTTCTACATGGTGCAACCGCGATTCATGAACGTGGACATCAGAGTGACGGTGGATGTCACCCAAGGTGCATTGGATCTGTTCTTGAGTCCTCGGGATGATTCCTTCGTCGTCACTTTGAACTCATCGACTGGATATCAAGATGTACGGATTCTTATTTAATTTTTCCATTTTTAAACTAATTTATCTTTGCAAATAAAAATATTAGTTTATTTTGTCAGTAACCCATTTTCTCTTTTTTTTTACATATCTATTGTTTTTTTTTTTTTTTTTTTTTTTTTTATATAATAAAATTTATCTATAAATAAGCTATCTTAAATCTTTGAATTCTTAAACGATTTATAAAGATCACTTTGCCATTATGCTAATATCAAAAACGATAATTTACTACATCAAACATATGTATCTCTCATATTTAATAGATTTACATTATTATACATTTACCAATTTTTATAAATTTATAAATTTTCAATGCTTATATCTATCTATCAAAAAGATGTCTGAAATACTCATTACATCCACAGGTTGAGCTAGATAACAGATTCAGATTGCGGCCTGATCAGCCCACCAACAGATTCCAGATTGTTGAGTTTCATCCTCACTTTGGAGCAATTAACGGTACCACTACAGAGCCGACTCGGTGGAATACCGGGCCGCAGTATTTCGTGATGGAGCGCTGGCTCGAAGATGACCTGGCCAGCTTTCTGACGATCGAGAGGCGAAACACCTTCCTGGTGATCCGTAATCTGACGAATCGACTGGTACTGACGTTGCCGCAGGATAAGCACGAGCTGGGCCAGACCAAGTTTCACATCGCGCTACGAGCGATCGACCCGGCGAATCCGGAGATGAACGGCCGCGCCGCTTACGGGATGATCTTTTTCCGTCAGGATCAACTGCACATCGATCTGTTCGTCTTCTTCTCGTGCTTCTTCTCCTGCTTCTTCCTATTCCTAGCGGTGTGCGTAGTCGCCTGGAAGGCGAAGCAGACGGCGGACTTACGCCGTGCCCGACGTCGTCACGTCGTGGAGATGCTGCACATGGCGAAACGACCGTTTGCCTCCGCGACAATACTCTACGACCGGGACGGCGGCGAGTGTAGCCCGAGCTCGCCGCAACGTAAGGGCAGACGGGGCAAGCACGTGAGCTTTCACAGCGACGTGAGACCGGTGGCTGTCGAGCCCACCGACGACGGCGTCGCGGCGGTGGCGACGGTGTTCATCAGGCTACCCGGCGGCCGCCAAGCACCCGTCAAACTGGCCCTGGGCAGCTCGCTCATACTCTTGACCAGAGTCTACCCGGTCAACAGCAGAGTGTTTTTAAGACGTAGAAACAGTCACGCGACGAACTGAACCCACGTTACAGTGGAATCTCGACTTTCGAGTTCCACATCTCGGGCACCGATATTATTGAACTCTTCTCGAACATCGATAAGAGTCACCGACGTTTGAGCAATCTGCTACGGATTGCAGCTTGTAATAGAATTTGGGTATAATGGACCTGGAAAATTAATATATAGATTTAACTGGCAGCCTCTTTTTTGAGACAGTTTTAACACGATAAAGATAATGGACGAGATGAACTCAGGATATAACGTGAATTTTAACAAAATACGTATTTTACTATCGGAACATCTTACATACCGCTTATAATTTTATCTTTCCCTTTAGAAAACTGTTCTTTTTTTATTGATCTCACACATTGATTGGCACTAAAGACAGTAACAAGTTAAATCTATAGAACGCAGGCATATAAAATAAATATTAATTAACTGTAATATTCCGCCGAATTTTATTACGAATATTAGATTCATGGATCCGGGGACTGTCGGAGAAAAAACTTTTCAGAATCATGGATAGAATCCAGTATATCTAACATATAAAAAATCATGCCATTAAAATTATTCTAGGGGCCTTGTACAATTAGGATTCAAATTAGAATACATTCTGTAATTAAGATTCAGAAAAGCATGTACTAAAAAATTCGAGTTTTTCTACATTCTAAGAATTTGCAAGCAATGATCGGCGGATCCAAGGATCTTATATCGTATGGTGCGAGCCACTAGACGCTTCAAACGCTTCAGGGAGTCATTTTGTCCTTGTTTAACATTTGACAAACAACAAGGATGAAATGTTTCCAAGTGCGTTTGGAACACCAAGTGGATCACACCCATAGATCTGTAAATCAAGCAATTATTGTTTTTTTCTAACTAGAGATTTAATATTGTACAAGTAGTTATACAAGAGAGGGTCAATCGTAAGTTTATTTAATCTAAATATAATATATATTGTCGTATACCATTCCATGACGAGACTGTACGTTTGTATATACAACAATCTGTAATTATGTATTAATTCGTACTTTATACATTTTTGTAGAAACATTTTACGAAGCGTGGCTTCGCGTCATGGAACATTCGTGACCATTCTCGGAAGCAGGTGAAATCGATTTCGCGCGATTCGTATCGGTTGAACGAACAGTATTAGAATTGTTGATTAGAGATGGAGCTCAACAATGCGTGCGTTAACAAGGTTCCTATGCCAAATTCATTTAGGATGGATACGTGTTGAGCGTCCTAATATAATAATAATATATTATTTATCGTAAGCGGGTGAAGGAAGAAGGCGGAAAGTTTTATTTGGGAAAGAAATGTACATATACACATGAAAGTTGCGAATGCGTGTTGTAAACTTTTATACTAACTGGCGTCGTATGCGTACTGGTTGAAAAACACTTATGCTCGATAGGCGATTTTTTTAATCAGAGATAACGATTACGTATTAGTCGAAACGTATAAGTAATGTGAATGTCGTTAAATATTGACGATATTGACATTGATGCTTAATAATTATTGTTAGAAACATAAAAATGGGATAATGCAGGGATGGCGTTTTGTTTGAAATTTAAGAGCGAAGTAAAGCCGATGAATTAGGCAAATTTTACAAAAAACGAATACAAAAATAGAATTTTGTTTTTACAAATTTACATGAAAGATTGAATTTGTGTGTGTGTGTGTGAGAGTATCTATGGATAAAAGAAATTTAAATTTGTGAAATTAAGGATTTGTAGATCCATATAAACGATAGAGAAATAGAATAAATGGTACGTAACACCAAGAACCTGTGGAATTGAAAATTTGCGATCTGAAAAAAATCTAGGTACTTCGCGGTTACATATCACAAGATTTAAATCCATCTTATATACGGTAATATCACATTATTATATAATATCATAGTATTATAATTGTATAACAAATATGCAATATTTCGTGCTTGAGGAATTCTTGCAATGAGCCATCTCTTCGTTATCCCATTTATGTGTTTTGTTCATTTCTGAACTAGGAATAACGTAACGGTACTGAGTAACGAAATGAGAACTTAAAGGCCTCTTTTATGTGCATGCCGTTTTCTTGTTGTATATCGCATAAACGAGGCACGCGTAAGCAAGGGCTTCGGTATCCTGTGTATGCCATCAAATGGCTGAAAAAATACACGAGTGCTCCTCGACCAGGAAACAACATTCGTTGATTAATTATTAAGCGAACACATCGACGATACGACGCGACCAATTTGTTGAATCTCAGTCTTTTCTTGTCACAAAAGTCATTACGCGCAACGCAAACGGGGACTCTTTGTTATGTCACAATACCCCTTAGGTGCAGCTACCTGTTTGTCGCAGTTCCTCTCTCTCTTTCTCTCTGTTTTCTACGATACATGTCTAGATCCGAAAATCCACTGAATACAACCTTTGCGACAAAATAAGAGGAACGATCTTTAAAATTAAGAAGTCACGGAAATGTAAAAACCTGAAACTAGGATCAATGGCTAAAATTTGTAGCTCGAGAAATGCCATGTTTTAAATTGAAAATTATGAAATTATAAATAGATGCTCAAGAATCTGTGGAGTCGATAAAATCGAAATTTATGGATTCTAAAATTTGTATAGAAATCGCTTCACACAAGCAGTAAAAAGTTCGCAAAGAGTTGAGTAAATTCATAATATCGGATGTTCATGGAAGCGATAAATTTTAAAGATCCATCAAAACTTCCGGGCGAATGAGACCGCCTGTGGATATTCAGCGATCTAAGATCTGGCAATGCGCATTGATCCTTCGGTTTTCAATATCATCTGTAGATCCTTCGAAGTTACATAAACGTTGAGATTTAAAGTTTCTCTCCAAAACTTTTGTAAATTTCGAGGATCTCCCAACCTGTGTACCGGTTGTTGCACCAACATACAGGTCAGCATGACAAGTCACCCTGTACATTCTAAGGACCTACATAAAGTCGAAGAGATTGTTGGAAGGAGGATTGAAATTAATTCGACATTCGCGTAAAATCGCAAAAGATTATTAATTAATTCTCGTTTGTTCATTTGTACGAGCGATCGCGCTGTCCTAAATACTCATCCGCGTGGTGCCGTGTAAAGCATGTAAACTCGACTAAGTACACAGAATCGACAGTATATGTACATTTACATAGGTTTACATGCATAGAGATATATATATTATATTATATTATATATATAATATTAAAAGTAAATGATTTAATGAAGAAACGAGAATAGAAATGATTATAAGTACGAGACCGGTGAGTGTATAATTTTTTGGTTGTACAGATCTGAGCGTTATTTCCGAAATAATTATATTTTATATATTATTATTACATCGCGTCGTCGATGGTAAAAAACGATAATCTTCCAATGCCGGCATTGTATCGAAGAAAAAAAATCGAAGAACACAAGCGTGATCGAGGACGTACCGCTTCGTAACGAAGGAATAGGTTGTGAAAAGAAAAAAAAAAGGAAAAGAAACAGAAAATTTAAGTATCGAGCCAGCGGCTGTCGAACTTTTGGTACGAAAGTGCAATTTATCTTCTAGTTCACGCCGCGAGGAGAAACGTAAGGTTGTGCAAACGATGATTAATAAATTGTATTGCGGAAGCTTTAATAAACATACGTAAAACCGAACGCTTTTATTCGGGGCTTATGATCCCTATATAGATATATATTATTACTCACTTTATAACCATCTTATACCATCTTTTCAATCTATTTGCAATGTACATATATGTCAACTATGTCTACTTCTTTCATCCTTTTTTTCATGCGGAACAATCTCACAAAATATGTTTAGATTGTAAATCATGTAATTATTGTTAAATGATTGTTTAAAATGACATATTTGATCTACAATTTATTGAACTGTGAAATAAGATACCAATGAGAAATACAATAGCGTTATAATACGAGATAAAAAGAAATCCTTAGTTAAAGAGAAATCTCAAGATATGGATAATCTGCATTTTTAGCACTTGCGACTGTTCAATTACGAGTTTGATTCGTCCGGTATAATAAAGTCATACGCAATTGTTATCGAGCTACGTAAGGTCATATATTTATCATTAAACGTGGGACGTAAGAATCTAAAGATAATAACGAATGGATGACGCTCGAGGTAGGGAAAAAAAAATATCGGACCACACGATTATAATTAAATCCTCTTTATTCTCTCATACGTCGATTCAGTAAAATCTCTCAAACTCAATCTGTGTTCTCTCATATACATATATAGAATTCTCTTTCATATACTACATCTATTCTCAGGACATTCGTAAAACGATGCCGTTCGGCAATAGTTATTTACATATTTAGACTACCACGCGCATTCACCCGCGACATCCACCCTCGCACACATGTGTGTACATCGAGCGATCTAGGAGACGAATTGTTAGCGTTGTTCCCAGAACTCCCACGAAAAGGATTCCTTTACAGTTTTCAACAACAACAAGAGACTCGCAAAAGTCGCAAACAGTGTCACCGGTCTAGAAAAGATATTCCAAATAGATATCTCGATTTTTAGAAAAACAGATATACACACAAATAAGCGGCTCGATCGTCGTAAGAAAAGATCTCGAATCACTCTGTCAGTCGAAACCAATTTGTACCAATTGCTATACAATTATTGTTATATTAATAATTTCATTATCTCTAACAATGATACACATTTCCTATTTCCTTGAAATCATAAATTATTACAAATATTCAACGTAAAGAAACCAACGAGTTCATTTTTCCCGGATATTTTTACGCGTTGTAAGCGACGAGGGAACAAAATGAGCTCGGCGGTATTTCTTCAAAGATATATATATCTCTACGAATTTTCAAAAATTAATTCTTCGAATTTTCTTGCTTGCAGCAAAAAGCATCACCCGCTTCTCCGTCAAACGATTAAATTTGTCGCAGAGTTGACGAGAGATTCATTACGCGAGAGTAGACAAACCTAAATCTCGACCCTTTCCTTCCCGGTATAATCGTATTAAAATACACTTGAATAGAGAAATCGTTACAAAAATCTTGCAAGCTTTATAAATTTTTTTTCCTAGTATTCAAACGTATTTGTTTTGGGAACGATAGGGTAGAAGGAGATCGTCCTTCGACTTTGTACGATTAACGCTTTGTACAATTTCGGTCTGAGTTACAACATCCGTGATCATTCTGGACCACAGCTTTGGAGCATGGCATAGTTTAGGATTAACATTCGCATTTCACTGGGAAATAAGTGCGCGTGCAACTGCAATTTCATAAAATTATTATATATATGTATAGTTCTAGCACAGGGAATTGTACATGTCGCAAAATGAAACACGCTCTAATTGCACGCGCAACGTCTGATCTCTCGATAAAATTCCTCAGTTGATCAAAAACCGCTTTGCCGGATTTAACTTGCCAAAGTATCTTTTGGCGACTCAAATCGTAACTTTAAGTTGTCTGCCGGAGATGTTCAATGAAGATATCGGCGCGAAATGTATGCGGACAAGTGCGACTGACTAATTTGTTTGTCTCCCACTTATCACCACCATCCGCTTGGTCAAATACGTAGAAGAATACCAAAAATTTACCGATTAATTGTTACTTATTGTCAATAGAATACATATAAATTTGCGCTTGTACTTTACTGTTTGACAAATTGCAAGACGCAAGAGTAAAAAATAGCCATAATTGCACGTGCAATTATTACTCAGCGCGAGACAGGTACAAGAATGCTTGTAGTTGTCACCATCGCAAGGGCGACGATCTTATTCTACATAACATTAGCCACTAGCAACGTGGCGAATATATGTATATGTATCTATATCATATACATATACATACATAAATATGATGAACGTATGTATATGTATATATATATTTATAAATACATATGTATGTATATATATTTACATTTGTAACGAGATTTGTAAGAGAGTAAATAACCACAAAAAAAACGAGAGATATAATTTAAGATACAATAATAGAATAGTTAGTATTTTGTTTTTCCGAAAATTGCGAGCTACCTAAACGCGATAACTTTCGACGATACCCTCGACGAGACTCGAATCTGTTTTTAACGTACACGATATAAAAAAGTATATATGTATATAATACCAAAGTACAGTGTTGCTCGGCAAAAATTGCATCAATTTTCCAAGCTCTGAATGTTAATAAATAAAACGCAACATAAAGCAACAAAGTTAATCTCCTAATAAACCTTAATCCTACATGAAAGGTACAAAAGGTACATCTTATTTACATAAAAAGTATACATGTATATAAATCTGCCTGGTAATTAAGATAAGAAAATAATATTATATATATATATATATATATATATATATATATGTATATATATACACACACACGACTGTCACAATATACATAAATATATATATTTGTATATTGTAATAAGGATTTCATCTACATTGCAGATGATTTTAAGCTATTTTCATTTCTTTATGCAAATTACAAACGTGCAAAAAAGATAATAATTGCTTTACACTTTCAAAAAATATAACTACGATGTAAAAAGATAAGAACCATTTTCTTGCCTCGTATTGAAACTTCATTTAAGTTCTCTCACAAAACACAGATTCGAGTCACCTTCGAAACTTATCGTCTGTGATGTAACGCGCGATCACTCAGTAACCGCGAATGATTTCTCGATCGCGTTCTCCTGCAATCAATACACACATTACATACCACACAACCCACACACACAAATATACATAAATGTACAGAACATCTCAGAGAATATGATAATCAGCAATAAAAACCTTCTTAATGAAGCTAAAAATTCAACATTGTTGAGTCAAACCTAAAGGTTTAATTATTGGTTCAACAATATTGAATTTTGAGCATCATTTAATTTTTAACATTAAATATCTTGATAATCAATATCTAAAATTAGATGCAAACAGAATTTCGAATTTATTAAAAAATAATCTTATTTTTTATTTATATCTATTCCTGAAACTTGGATCTCTTAATTTTCAATATTAGATGCCGGTATTAAGTTGTCCTAAATTATTTTAATAAATATTAAATATATATTTAAATTAGATTAAGAAGCCAGCTTCAAATTTCTTTGAGTAATCTATTAATGATTCTCATATTTTCTGCGATATACTATATATGCAAGGCATTCAGGAAGTTTTTCAGTTTTAGTTAACAGTGATGTACATTTAAGTAATAATTCGTTAAAGTATTTCGTTTAAGGTAATCGCCACGTTTTTTTTTTTTTTTTAGGTCAGTGTTCCTTAAACTGTGTTCCACGAAAATCTGGAAATATAACAGATAATTCTACATTGATTAGTATGTTAATTGCGACAAATATTTATCCTTTGTTATATCTATTTCATTGTAATCCATCCAACACAAATAAGATTTAATCGTAGAAAGAAAGTTACACTGAAAAAGTTTATACTACCCTTATGTTTTATATACAAGGTGTCCGTCCAGATGTCCTTTCACACACACACACGCGCGCACAGATATTCTTTTATTTATAATATAGATATCTGTTGTAATGAAAATTAGCAATTTTTAACGTTTCTATTAACTATTTATTGTTGCATCAGTATTGAAACAACCATCACTTTCTCTGTCTTCGGTTTAACTTCTAATTGAAAGGACATCGTCAATGATTGTAGCGGAACACCCTATAATCGTAACTTTCGCCTGCCATTGTTTTTCAAGGAAAATCTTCATAGCGACTCGAGGCACGACAAAGAAAAGACTCTATCCTTTGGTGTCTCGTGATTTGTAAGTTTAAGAAGCACTGGCGTTATCGATCACTGCCAGCATGTTACATTTACGCGCGGCGAGAGACAGTGGTGCATGTTAAGTTTACAATTTCCCAAGACAGATCGACTGTCTTCGGGACTAGAATCGATCGTCTAATGTACACTTTCCATTTCATCTTTCCCTACTTTCCAACAGTTGCTCCTTCCCGCGAAATAAAAAATAACCGACAAAAACCTAGCTAGTACATAAGACACTTATTACAATTAAAAATTAAGTTTTCAACGCTCGCTATACTTCCTCTACCACGGGGGTCGTCAACAAAATCCGCGTCGTAATTCCGCATATTGTTTCGACGTGCAACAACTCCAAAGATCTGTAGAACATGGATCTGCGAAAATAGATTACTTTACAGATTCAAGGGTGTAAGAGGAAAGATAACAAAGATCCATAAAGAGCTACTTATGCAAGATATTATGGTACTATAGTACTAATAAGTATAGTAATGATTAATGATCTGAATTCAAAGATGCATGGTACCTGTGTACACAAAAATACTACCAAATATTTGAAACAAAGATCATTGAAAAGAGGAGTCTATCATAACAATTATTCGTCAAAACAGTTTCCTAGTTCCTACTCGTCAAAATTTCTAATGGCAAGTGTCTTTAACAATAAACTCTGTCTAGAAACTAAGAACTTCTAAGGCGCAAAAGCGCGGGAGGATAAGAAAATCAACCGAAGATCTATAATATCAAAGATTCATGGAATTAAGAATCCATAGAAGGATGTATAATTGTAAGTGTCCACAGAATCAACAGTCCTTGGAGCCAAGCATCTGTTTTAAATCAACGACCTCCGAAAAGAATGACATATAATTTCAAACAGCATTCAAATCCGCCAGTTGGCATAGCGCCGATACTTTGGCTCGAGCTGCTTCATCACTTCTTTGAATTCGTCGATTTCATCATCGTCGACGTCATACTCGATCGCGTTCGACTTGTTCCCTTCGCTATCCTTCGCCTTCTCTTCTTTTTCCTCCGCTGCATTATTTCGGGCTGCAAAAAAAAATGAAACATTGTCTTCGTCCCGTAAACTAATATCTGTGCAAATATATAAATTATGCATTTTGCATTTTTAAAGAAAAGCTGTGCACAAGCTTTCGAAAAATTAAATGAAATATTAGACAATAATAAAAGAAGTTAAAATTTTTAATTAAATGATTTATTGTAAAATTCTAGTTATTGTAGAAAAAACTGTAACAATAAATAATTTATTTTAAAATTGTAGTATATAATGTGTATATTGAAGTTTGCATGATAAAGACGTGCAACAGCAGAGGAAATATCAAAAGGAAGATGTGTACATATATATAATAAGAGGAAAATACATATATACAAACGAGGTAGGAACAAGAGGTGTACAAAACAAATGTAATAATTAAACTTTTCTTTTAATGACTTGTTAATAAAGTAAAGACGTTAATGTGTTTGTCAAAAATAGACGAGGGTAAAGTAAGTAGTAAGGAAGCGAACGAAAAGATCGCCAAGAAGTCGTGGTAAAAGTTGTGTTGAAAGTTCTGTTACACAAGAAATCTTGGGTAACAACGCGTGAGTCTTTGAAGATTTTCGAATGCTCCAAATAATTCCGCGAAAGAAACGAGACGATTATACCCCTCGCCACAGTTAGCGATTATTTCTTTAACATTTCGCTACATTTAAGTCGCGATGAACAGAGCATTCGAAACTTTTTGAAGTTCTCTTCTTCAAATGTTCCCAGCAATAGCAACAATAAAAGCTGATGTCGTACAAGGTGCAAAAAGCGAAAGTCAAGAAAAGTCGAAGCAGTGAAAGGAACATCCTTTCCGTCAGTCGCGTTAAACCCTTAGAATGTATGGCTCTTCCACGTGAATGCATAGCATAAAATCATCCATTCAAGTGCAATTATCTCTGTTGACATTATCCTTGTGTCTTAATAATTTTGAGCTGAGACTAGTATAACGAAATCACTTGAACCTCGAGGAAACTTAATTTTGTGAAATTTATATCCGATTGAATTGTGTTGTGGAAACTCTATGGTGAACCGAAGAGGGCTTATTTGGTCCTCTTAACTGAACAATTCCCTAAAACTCCAACGAATCTTGTCTGGCTCTTTCGACACGTGACATCGTATTTATGAGAGCGTCTGTAAGCATATTTTTCCCAGTGCGGAATATATATATTTTTTTCTTCTTATCTGTCGAGATTACGTTGCTAAGATCGTAAAGCCAGCTACGCCGAGTGAATGGCGTAACGCATTCTAGGGTTCTCGTAGGAAGTTCCGAAGAGAAGCCGAGAAGAAGGGCACCGCCCGGTACCCGCGCTCGATATACTCACCTGGTGCCGTGTATGGCTGCGGCAGGATGCGCGACGCCTTCGTCGGCGACGGTCCGCGTCGTCGTACTGACGACCGTGCACTTGATGCTGTTGAGATACGAGTGCGCGACGCCGTCGTTCATGCCGTCGTTATCTACCAGTCGCGTCTCCCTGGCAAGAAAGTCCGACGCAAACTCCCCGTACTCGTCGTTGTCGTCGCCCACACCGTTGTCGTCGCGCGAAGGCCTCTTCGGGACCACGACGACGTCCAGCGTCCGCTCGGCGGTGGACTCCACCCTGATGCATATCGACGAGCATTCCGACTCGATCCCGGAGTCCACGCTCTCCTGGAGGCTGCTGCGCGGCGGCGGCGGCGGATGCGCGTCCGTCGTGCCGACGACAGTGTCGTCGAGCGTCAGGACGGTCTCCTCGGTACCGGAATCCTGGCTGTTCCTGTGCGCGCCCTCGGGATTCTCGATCAGCAGCGTGTTCGTCGACGTCGCCCTCGAGGCGGATAGCTCGAAGTACGACTCCGCCACCTTGGCGGCGTCGTTCGGCGAGCTCCTGGACGGCACGCTCGGCGACAGCTCGTCCTCCACCGAGGTGCCGTCCGTAGAGATATCCGTCATGCAGAAAATGAGCTCCTCCGCGTCGGACTTGTCGAGATTCGCGGACGTCTCGTACGGCGTGACGAGGATGGTCGGGTCGATCCGTCTGTCGTCGTCGACGGCGTCCTCCGGCTGGTCCTCGGGCTCGGCCGCGTCTTTAAGGATAGTTCGATGTACGTCGACGTTATTTGGCATGAAAGACTGTCCCTCGTGATGCTCCTTGAACGCCTCTTGGCTTCCCGAACTCATCGTCACCGATTCGCGCGGTTCTACCTTAATATTTACACTTGTACTTTTACGGTCGGCGGAATCGCGGCAAGTATCATCATCGAGGACTTCCGCCACGTCCTCCTTTTCCTCATCCTCCTCCTCCTCCTCCCTCTTCGTGGACTCGCATTGACGATCTTGGTTGACAATGCAGCACGTGCTACTGGTAACTTTCTCGTTTAAGTGGCCGTTCGAGTCGACGTCCTTCAACGACCTCAACGGCGTCCCGACATCGTCCACCGACATCGACGACACCCAGACGTCGTTCAACGACGTCGACGATGTCCCGCAGTTGCCTGGCGTACATTTAATCGCGCCGACGTCATCGCCCGTGCTCGTCGGCGCTCTCGTAGTATTTACGCTATCTACGATTTTCCTATCATGCCCTATGTTACAAATCGGAAAACTACTATCACTAGTCTGATTAATACTGTCCGTGGTTGTATCACATGTCCTCGCCGCTAAGGTATTCACTCCTCCAACCGCGTCGTTACGCTCTAAACACTCCCCGTCGTTATCCTCTAAAACCTTCGGCCCGTCGCATTCCAAATCCCCTAGATTGTCGCGTCTTAAACGTTCAACGTCATTACGCTCCGCATGTTCCGAATCCTGCGCATCGTCACGCTCTCCTCGATCCACGTCGTCACTAACAAAATCGTCGTTACACCCTGTACTGTCGGTCTTACTTAATTCTAAAGCAGAACACCCGGCTACGTCCGTTAACTTTACAGCTATACACACGGTGGACTTGCTCGCCAGCGACGACGAAGCCGCCACGTCCGGCTCAACATAGCCGCCATCTAATACTAAATTATCAACAAAATCGTCCTTTGATTGCACACTTTCAGGTAACAGTCGATCACTAAAGTCAGATTCTGTCCATTGTAACTTGTCTGCGTAACACGCACCGTCCTCCTTAACACTTTCTTCATTAACGTGTACATTTCGCATAGAATCTCCCTCGTCGTTTCGGGCAATCCCGTTGTCCTGATCTTTTAAGTTCCCGCTGTCTCTCGCGAACATCTGCCGATTATTAAACTCGTTGTCACTCGCAACCTTATCTCTTTCCTGATCTCGTTCATTTTGGCTGTTTTCGATAACTCGAGTCTTCTTTTGATCTTCAAAGCTCTCATCGGTGCTCCTGGCAACTTGCTCCTTTTCTTGATCTTCTAAATCCTTCTCGTCGATTCTCACAATCTGATTTTTTACCTGATCAAATAAATTATTCTCGTCATGCATAGCCTGACTCTCTTCCTGGCCGATCACATTCTTCTCATCACCCTTGATAACTTGGACAAATAACTTCTGCTCGTCATTTCTTCCTACCTGATTATTTTCTCGAACGAATAAATCGTCCCCGTCATTCTTGACAATCTGATTCTTCTCTTTAACAATTAAATTCTTCTCATCATCCCTCGTAATCCCATTTCGCTGCTGATCCAATGAATTACTCCTGTCGTTCTCCTGCCCGATCAGATTCTTGTCATCGTTTCTTGCAACCTCGGTTTCTGTCGATCTTTCTGAATCTTTCTCTTTAACATTCGTATCCTGATTTATTGCCTGACCGGAGAACTTAGTGCTATGCTCAGCGAGATTCGTATGAGGCTCGAGCTTGAAAGATGCAAATATATTGGTCAGGCTCTGTAACTGCGATACGTTTACTGTCACCGATCTGTTTCTCGACAAAGATCCGTGTTCCGAAGACCATGAACTGTCGGTGTTAATCTTGGTTCGGCTCTCCTTCAAGTACTGCTGCAGCCTGTCGCCCAGTGCCATCATGCCACTTACGTTCTCCTGTAAAGAGCTTCTCGTATCCGCGGCAACGCTCGACGAGTCCGAGAAGAACTGGCCAGGATGCTGGAACAGGGACAGGAGCTTCTCCAGGCTGGACTTGTGCCTCTGTACCGATGTGTTCGCCTGTTCCCGCGAATGTGGCTCTGCCATGCGAGTCGAGGACGTATCCGAGGTAGTACTTACGGAAGACTCCAAAACGCAGGTAGACAATCCTTCCGAAGTCGTCCGATTCACGCGCAATTCCGAAGGGTCATCCGAGGACGATTTAATCAAGGCTTTATCCTCGACTACGCTAATCCTCATCGAAGCTGTATCCTCATCCGGATACGCAGGTACCTGTAGTTCTTTTGTACTAGTATACACGATGCGATGATCCTCGATCGCCTCGGTATCCTTGTCGGGCATTACTATGCTCTCGAGATCTACCGTAACGTTGCTCTGATTCGCCGCCTCGTCGCAATAATCCTCGCGAATCGTCGTGATGTCCTCGTTTCTTTCCGACTGCGCGGTTATATCCTTCTGAACTAATCGCTCTTCTTCGACCTCCGTTATCGTATCGCGTTCACTTCTACACGTCGCGGTATCGCTCTCATCCGTCCAGATTCGCGGTTCAGCTCGGTATACTCCCGATCGCTCCTCCTCCCCTTTCGTTCCTTCGTCACAACGATCTTCGTTTTTGGCAATGTCTTCGTTTGGGGACATTTCTGTCGATATCGCAACTACATTAAGCGTGTCTACGAACGCGGTTGTGCTAGCGGCCTGCGTCGCATGTGTGTCCATCTTGGTTGCGCTGTCGGAATCGTCCGAGTCGGCTGCGTCGATTCTGACGTTAAAACCGATTGTGACCGAGCTGCCGCTGGATGAGGCGACGACCGATTTGGGCGACGAGCGGTCGGCGCCCACCGACTCGACGACCGACACGCGGAACCGCGATGGGCCACCGCTCGTACTGGGGAAGAAAGACGGGGAAGAACCGAGGGACGGAGAGGAGCCGAGAGACGGCGGAGTGACCGGCGAGGAGGACACCGAGGAGTCGACGGAGCGCAACGATGCTTCCGACACCCGACACACGACGAAGCGATTCCGGGACGGGCTGGGGATCGGACTGGCGACGGGAGAGGGGATGGGACTGGGAGCCGGGGAGCGCAGACGGCCTCCGCTGGTACGCTTTGGCTCCAGCATAGTGCGCGTCGCCGGCTCATCGACGGCTAACATCGCCGATCGCGACGGGCTTGGCAGTGTCTGACAGGTAAGCGAGATCTTACGGGAGCTCGCGTTCAGCAACCGGTTCGAGTGCTGCGGGCTCTCAACATCCTCGGCCGACTCCTCTAGCAGACGGCGCTCCTCGTTTTGGCTACAGCAGCTGCGAATCTCCGCAGCCATTTCCTTGTACTCGTGCAAGGGACCGTCCTTTGTGTTTAAAAAAAATTAAGATAATTATTAAACATAAGCATTATTAAGATGTATGAATAATATTTTGTTATAAAGTTTTTGACACCCCAAAAATTATATATAACAGCAAGATTTGCCGTTATGAAATAAGTATCGACACTCACTATTCTTATCCGAGGTTTGTCGTCCAAATCAATCTGCGTAATGGTCTTGTTCTTTTTCATGACATTCACCAGAGCACGCATTCCACGCATCTGTATACTGTTATCCCGTAAATCTATCCTCTGCAAAAGAAAGGAGTGATATAAGGCACAGCGAATTATCGAGAGCTCAAGTGAAAGCTTTACCTGCAAAACTTGATTCGTCTCCATTATCTCAGCGAGCGTAATTATTCCATCGCATGTGAGTTCCGTAGATTGCATGCCCAATTGTAGGAGAACACGATTTTGCTTCAATGACTCGTTAACGGTGCTCAATGTTTCGTCTGTCAGCATATTTTGGCCAATATTCAGAGTCTCCAATGTTTTCGATAACCCCTGAACATAAATTATTGTAGACGTAATAGGACAGCAAACACATAAACAGCATACTTTTCGTTACTTTATTTATTTTATCTTTTACTGATTTAAAATAGCTTCAGATCTCCTTTCGTTCGTGATTTTTATGAATTGAGTGTAAACTGCTGATTCTCTTATCTCGAATTATGCTAACATACTTACTAATAATAGCACAAATAAACATACATAAGAACAATGAACACGCTAAAATTGATATAATAAAATAACAGCAACAATTCTAATAATTAAAGTATTGGGTTGGCAAATAAGTTCGTTCGGTTTTTTCCATTCAAAACCAGTCAAAAAACCGAACGAACTTATTTG